GTGGCGCAGGCATTCCAGCAGGAGAAAGACGATGTTGTAAGCTGTGGCGTATTCGCCCGAGTACACTTCATATACATCGCAGCCAAGAGGAATGTCCCAACCAAGACCGATGCGCGACTATGGCGCTTCTTATTTAGCTCCGCCATCCAAGCTAATGGCACTTCACCCGCCTACTCGCCACCCGAGATACCAGAGCTTGGTTTGAACTCAGAGTTCATTACTTCGGAACGATACCTTGAAGTAGCCAAAGTCTGCAAGTTGTTATCGACGAATTTGGATCTTGCGAACGAGGCCTCTCAGGTCCTGTCCAGCCTCTCTCATCGTGTGGAGACCGCCAAAGCTACCATAACGAGAAGACCTGGAAGCTACTGGGTCAGATATAGAGCATTGAAAGTCAATGCTCGAAAGAGCAACCTAAAGCCGCACCAGCCACCCGGATGATGATGCTGCATTGAAGCAATTACTGGACGGATTCATTGTCGGCGCAGAATCGCGAAAGAAGGCTCTCCAGGCCGAACTAAAAACGCATAAAACTCATATTAAAGCCACTCATCCCGCTGTAGCAGCCGCCTCTGATATCCATTCTCTTACTCGATCGCGTCTCGAGGAAGCCCAGAAGATCAAGCACAAGGCCGCTCAGTGGATACAAACGATAAGGCTTCGCCTCAGGGCTACCTTAAGCAAACTGGAAGCAGACATGAAGGCAGCTGATGAGCTATAAATAATTCGCTTGTTTGTCTTTTTTTTTTCCACTTTCTAACAACGACAAAAAATGAAGTTTCCTTTTTCAACACTTCAACGAATCAATTTTGCTCGCTGCAGATTCTTGCAGGGCTGGCCATTTCAATTGCTGGCGGCCTGAATGTGTCTTTTTAGACTACGATCCCGGGGCAGAAGGCAGGATGGCAGGACAGCTTTTACATCTCTTATACGTTGACAACTGCGCAGACATGCCCATGCGGCCGGCAAAAGCGTGGTAGACTTAAGAGTTGTGGCAGCTGCCACCAGCATGTCCTCAGAAGCGCCGCATGTGAGGCTCTCATCGTCTTCCCCAGGCGTGTCTCACCGCCTGCACCTACCTACACATCCTCGTCGATGATACTATGCGCCCGTCGGCAACGCTCTCTTCCCTGAAATCGTCGGCCCCGGCGGAAGCATCGCCAGTGAAGTCTCCCTCACTGGAGTCGATGTCGTGACGTGCATGTCCGGCATTTGGGCGGGATGCACAGGACTGTCGGCGGACGGAGGATGCGGGAAGCGTTTGGGCCGTTTAGCTACGACTTTCATGGTGACACAGAAGCATTTGCCTCTGGCCCTCTATCGCAGTTCTTTCATCTTCCATTTTCTTAATTTCTCTCCTCTTACCGTTATCTCTCAGCTGCCACTTAATACTCTGAGTTCTTTGTCCTGCAGAGCATTTATATAGAAAGGTCGGGCTGTTATGTGCACTGATTCCCATCCAGAGCCTGAAGTCGGACCTGCCAGATGAAGAAAAATAAAGAACGAACAATGAATCACGACAAGGCAGACTACACAGAGTATGTTGTACAGACTGATTAGTCGTGACCCCTGTCGCCAAGATGGCGAAGGGCGTGAGTTTGTATTGTATTTATGTATAGAGAGGTCAAGTTTGATACTTCAACAGCCGTACCCTCTTCGAGCTCTGCCAGAGGTTCCCTTCCATTCGCAATGTCTCCCCCGCTATTCTCGGGTATTCTTGGCTCTCAGAATTGATGTACAGCTCCATTTCTTGGAAGCAGCCTCCCCTTTGAAACTCATCCAGGACGGCGCCCCCCACCACGATACGCTTCGAGCATCACCGTCTTCGTTGAGCACGAGAAAAGTATCGCCAGCCGCAAATTAGTAACTAGCCGAACGGCTTTTAGGTTCGCTGAAATTTTCTTCAACCGCGTCATATCAGGACCAGTCGTCAGAAAGATTGCTGACGACATTCCTTCTCCGCAATTGCAGCAGAGCAAAAGATTGCCGTGCTTCCTCATTGGGCTTGGGACTCGCTTCTTTCAGAACATCCAGCCTATGAATACAACAGGGATCACTCAGAGCAATTCTCAGCCTCAAGAATGCCTTCATGGTCGGACTAGGGTCTAAGCAATAATTGTCGAACTTCCTTGCACGACCGAAGGGCTGGGGCAGCATCGCCACCTCTTCAGGGTCGTCAGCGACGTGCGGCTCACCGTGGATGTAGTAGAAGTTCCACATCAAGGTCCGCTCCGCCTAGCCCCGATTATTCTCCCAATCGCGTCTTTAGCCATGCTCGTGCGCTGGAGAGGATGGGGGGGAATTTCGTGATAATTTTACCGAGCTCCTGCTCTCTAAGTTCGGTGTCGATGCTCTGATTAGCGTGTTCGAGTCGCTGGAATCCCTTCCCTGACTGAGATCGGCGTGGTGGTTGGTCTCGCTGGCGCGGCCCGTGGCTTTTCGTCGACTCCGCTCTCGACGGAAGGTGTCCGACAGTCCTCTCGACACCTCAAGAGACATTCTCTGGTATCATCAGTGGTGAACTTTGGGGAGCTTTTCTAATTGTGCCGAACTGCGGTATGCAACATTTGCGGAAATGGAAGAGCTGTGATTGTATCTGAAACTCACATACCTCGAGACCGATATCCCCATCCAAAAGGCCCAGCTACTGGGTAGTAGCTAAACGCCGGTGCGTACACTGGCAGCCTGCGGCATTGCAATGGGTATCGTCATGCTGTCATACCATGAGCGGGTGCGTAGGTATGACTTCTGCCCATAACCGTAACCAAGCAAACTTTTTGCCCTGGCTGCCCACTCCGGAACCGGATATGGCACCGGTGCCAGACCAAGTACATAGATAGCAGCGTCTATATACTTGGCCTCACTGCTTCGATGGAGGGATTGCAGGAGTAAAACATCGTTGTGGGCTGTATAGGTGCCTACAATGGATAGATGTCCTATTGCGACAATGATAAGTACACAAGTTGATTAGTCTACCAAAGCTCCGCACAGAGTGAGGGGATTGTAAACATACCAGCGCACACCACCGCCCTTTTCTTCTCCGTGAAATTTTACAAATAGACGACAGATTGGCAGTGGGTAGCAGCGCCGACGCGAGTTCTTATCGCTCTTCCCTCACGCTGCCGCAAGGATATTATTTCCATTTTCTTCGACCTGAGTGAAAGTCTTTTTAATCACGCATACACGAGGGGCTTCCGAAACAACGAAACACGCAGCTATTAACCTGCCACATTCCAAGATTGATCTCCGGGCAGCAACGCCACCGCACCACCAGAGTAGCACGTACGAAAATCGCCTGCAGCACACGGGTTCAAGCCTAGACGTTTCATACCATCGCGGAGCTCTTTCAGCCACCCAATAAACGCGGTCAGTTGACCCGTGGTCTGCAGGGGGCCTGCGCTTCCGATGACCGGCGCAAAGTTGCTTTTCTTTTTCATGGAAAACCTAAATCCTGGCCTGTGGTACCGCCGAATTCAACCTATCGCACTCCTGGAATAATATATGCATCCCCTTGTCGTTATTCCGCGCTGAGGTTCGGCTGCGAGAGTGAGCTGTACGGAAGCGTTTCACAGAGCGATGGGGCGCATATTATCGAACGGTGGGTGCATTCAAGCTAGCCCTGTTTAGAAACGAGGGCTCGAAATCTATACAAAGAGTGTCAGATTAATCGACAGCAACGCTGCTACTACCGTCACTTTGTACTGCTACCAACCTGGCAACATTCCCTTTCCGTCATTATCTACCCGAGCGGAAGCAAGTTCGGGGCGTGGAAGGCACCGGGGGCAGATGATAACCATAGAGATCGCCGATCCAACGGCAGGCTCCTCACCTGGCCCCAAGACTAAAATTTTAATCTGATAAAGCCTCTATATCTGTATACACTCAACGGGACGAGAGAATCAATAGAGATAGCACCGTTGTCTTCGTCTTTTTCCAAAGGTAGAAGTCCCCGTCATTGAGGTCTAGCCAGCTCGTGTCCTCCCATCATCATCATCAAGCTGGGAAACAAAAGACATCATCTGCCTCTTCGTTAACATCTGCGCGGTCGTTGCTGTATAACTCGGCTGCTAACGCGTCCGGCTATTGCTGGCTGGCTGGCTAGTAATCCTCACCAGGCCTCTATTATGCTCTTTTTCGTCTTGATTCTTGATGGCGCCTGGGTGCCCTTCTCTCGCGTAGCACTCCCGTGCGATGGAGTTGGAAGCCTAGCGCTGCTAATTCTTGGGTTGGGAGGATCTTAAAGGCTGGGTAAGACGGTGACGTAAAGCTGCGTGTCAAGCATAGCCTGCGGCGCGTCTCCCTTCTCGTTAGCCATGATTTCGGTGGTTTCGTACGGTCGCGCGCATGAATGCGAAGGATACTGGGTTGGGTTTGAGCTACTGGTGGTGGTTGGTGGGCCGTAGCAGATTTGGCCCGATAGCGTGGAGCCTGCAGGTTGGACTTTGGGGTCTTCAGCAGGCTACTTTTTGGCTCGCGCATGAGATGTTGACTTCTACTGCCACCACAGCCAGAAGCTAATTGCAGGAGACATCAAATTTAAAGAGTCTTCCTAACAGCGACTCGGCCCTATTCATCCCTACCCGCTTCAATCAGCTGATACTTGAAAGAGGGATTAGAGCACCTCGACTCTGCACCGAGCCCTAGAGACTGTCACGTGAAAACTCTATGCGCGGTGTGGGCAAGCGCAATTGCCAAGGGAGGTATTTGCTGCTGGGTTTCCGGTACCCAACACACGGCTCGTCCACCTCCTCTGGTTCTCACCCCGGCCTTGGCGAGCAGAGATAATCAAGACCACCCAAAGTGTTATTCCGCCGTTACACCACCATCTCGCAAACACTAACAATTAGTGGCCCGACATGTCTCCGAAGGAAATCACTACGAAATCGGGTGGTGAACCCACTGAGCCCGTTAAGGTCAAAAAGGAATCTGCTGCACCTTCCGCCATGAGGGGAGTGCTACTAGCGTATCAGAGCGTATAAAAGAACATTCCTGGTGCTTACATGCCGCCTCCATCATCATCACCTCCCGACAAGGACGACGATACATCCAGTCTCAGATCGACTATGAGTTGGAAACTTGTTCACCCAGGAGGACCTGAGTCCTCCAACGGCGACGTTAGGAAGATGAAAAAAGCCAAGGCTCGGCAGAGCGCCAAGGACGTCGAGGAAGACGGCGGCGAGATACTCGAGATGGAGGAGATGAGGAATGATAAGCATCTCCTGGCGTCCAAGGAGAACGACATCAGCAAGTAGGCGAGTGATGCAAGGGCCAACGAAAAGGGTGCCAGCAAGAGATCATCTGCTGGCCGATCAGTTCGATGGCCTGGTCAATTATTTTCCATTCGGGAGTTACCGGTCTTTGAGTCTTCTTTCCTCTTCAGTACCTAACTTTTGGATTGGAACCAGGACAAAACGAACCCCCATTCACACTCGAGACATCTGCAGCAATTTCACATGTCAAGTAAACACCGGACGGGCAAGCGTCAAGTCGATTCAATCACACAGCTAATCGATGCTCTTCTTCCCGCAGTATATCTTCGTCGCTGCCTCAGCCACTGTTGCTACTGCTGCTATCTACTGCCAGCAGAACAGGTTCCAGTTTCGTTAATGCGTGGGTTACAGCAGGTCCTGCGAGCCATGTCGGCGCTATTTTCCTCGTCGATCATCCGCCGCCGACATCGTGGGCGCGCCGTTACCCGCCCGCCGGTAGCTCCAACTCCACCAACCATCGATTCTGACACCGAGCGGAGTCTCCGCCTCTCCATCGGTCCTCGTATACTGCAGTCCCTGCTTCTTTTATTCCGGTCCGCCTCGCGTCCTCGGCCACCGTCGCCGGACGTCGCGTCGCAACAGGCCCATGTCTGCTCCACAGGAACAGCAGAAACGGCGGCTGTTCGACACATTGCCGGCGCGTGGTTTGGACAAGGGTATGTAGAATGGCGAAGGCCAGAGGATTGCCTGTGACAGAGCTAGAGCTAAGTGGTGCACTTAACAGATAAGCGTAATGGCGAGAGTTGCACCCGATCGATTAGCCAGGTCCACCGCCATCCTGCGACAAAAGGTCAAAATAGACTTCGCCTTAGCGGCGTCGGCTAGAGAAAAACGTTTAACGCGTTTAGGCAAGCTTCGGGCTGAGCTCCGAGCTCCAAGTGGCCCGTCGGCTGTAACGTTGCGGAGGTGCCTCCGAGTGGCGGTTCCGAACGACTGACTAAGATCCTGCAACACCATGCTGCGCCGCGTCGCCGTATCTCGCCACGGAGCTTACACAGTGTGATACAGCGCGGTCCCCCTCAGCACTACAGAGAGGGCGTGGGTGACTGACCGTTTAATCCTGACGAGAAACTCCCTCACGTTCGCCGTGTGTGATTCGAGAATTCGGCCAGGGTGCACCTCTCAACAAGGCTGACGAGTCATTATGATGCCGTAATTCCGAGAACAGCGGCGCCGTGATGCTCAGGCTTCTGATACGAGGTTTGATGGCGGCGGCGCGTCAAACCCGTGTGGAGTACAGGAGCGAGGCGAAGAGGTAGAACGATTGGAATGGAGAGAGAGTAGTGACGGTGGCGGCGATGGTAGCGGTGAAGTGCGGTGGCCGACGTCGGAAAGTCTCGGGTAAACTCATACCTAGGCGAGCGCGCCGGAGCCACTCGCTCAGCAACAGCAACAGCAACACCCTACCACAGGCCGCGCAGTGCTGAGAGAATACGCCGGTGCCGACGTCACCGCCACATTTGACCGGAGCGTCACCCGCAAGCCGCCCGGGCGACGCCGACTTCCACGACGTCGCCATCGACAGCAATCGCTACGCCCTACATTCAAGTTCGAGCACCCCGTCCCAACGTAAGTTAGGCCGTCCGCAAAGCAACTTCCCCTCACCCTTTTTTTTCCCCCTCCTGTTTCCCGCTCAAACTGACATCGTCGTCGCAACGAGTAGCCACTCCTGCGCACGCACAGGCGCCCGATCGAAGCCGCGAGGTTCGATTCCTCCGGGGTCATACGAGTCACCCTCTACCATCTCCGTAACTCAATTCTCGTCCTTGCAATCTGCCGACCTACCTCCTTCGAGTTTTACCTTTACTGACCGTCATGTCCTCCCGACCGAACTTCAAGCCCCACGGTCTTTTAAATAGACGGCCTCTAATACGGTTTTAGCGATGTTTTTAAAATCTATAAAGTCGTATAATCTAAAATAAATATGGGTCGCTAATAGAAGAAAAAAATTAGACGAAAGAACTATCGCTAATCTCTTACTTTCTAAGACCTTTCGCACTTAATATTATATTATATAATACTAGGGAAGCGATATTATATACGGGCGAGGTAGTAGAAACTTAATAATAAAATATCTGTGACGAGATCTTGATGCAGCTGGTAGCACGGTAGTATAAGGTAGTATGCACCGATGGCGAAACAGTCTTACATTTACGCAAGGATGCTGCAAGGTTGGCAAGATATCAGGCAAAGCTATCGAAAGTTGATGGTTGATGGTCACGAGAGCCTCAAAATGGAAGTAATTCGCGAGACTGTTGATGCATTTCTGGTTATTCTTCTAATTCACAAGTGGCGCTGACAATAGAAACCTTGAAAGTATAGCCGAGGCAAACAAAAGGATTATGAATCAGGTAATATGGTGATCAGCCGGTGAATATGCTCCCATTCCATCATTTCCCAGCGCGTGTGTGTTGCACCGTAACAAGAATCCTTCAGATCGCAGCTATCATGACGCAGCCATGATGCCATACATCGATTCTAGATCATTTACGACGATAGACCCGGCGCCATGGATGACAACTTGGTCAAGATAAGCAGCTGCTTTCTGGAGCGGGGCGTAAGTCACAGTGTCCCTTCATTTGACCTTCAGGACTCTGGTCATGGACTTTTCAGGGTTGACGGCGGCCATAAAGATGTAACCAACCATAAAAGGTAGTCGGTTTTCCTTCTCAAGGTAGTTGGGCCCGTAGATTTCTCGAAGCTGGTCATCGCATCCCTCTTGGATCAGCCGCAGTAATCCCCAACAAAATCGATGAAACCTCATGTAGTCAAAGCCCAGTTCAACAATTTCTCCCTGCAGAGCATTACACAGTTCACCAACAAGGTCGACTGTGGTAAGTTGACGAATAGAATCCTTGTGCTTGCGGCTTTTGCTTTCAGATGACCTTGTGAGCTCCAGAGTCCGCATTTCGGTCTGGACAAGGCCACTCGGGGACGCTGAAGGACTTTCTCCTCACACGTTCGCGTCCGCCAGAATCACCTTTAGATCCTGAATGTCGAAAGCAGCGCGTACTCCTTTCCGGCTTTGGTAATCTGCGGCTCTGGCGCCCTGCGCTGTTCAAGCGGCACAATAAGCCACATCTTCGGCGCACCAGCGAGGACGGTCGACATCAACAGAGCTAAAGAATCCATCCTCAACATACATCGCTGTGCACGACCTCGCCGTTTCACTCACGTACTCATAAGCCGTGTGTACACCCGGGACCTGCGGTCCCTGAGTCTACGCTAGCCGCTCTCCACAGCTGACCAGCGGTTCCTCAGGCAAGCCCGCGGTCGCCCACCAGCCCGACGACAGCAGCTCGGTTGGGATCACGATATAAGGGCGGACTTTGGGACGCGCCAAGCTGGCAGCCTTACGCATGGCAGCGTAGAATAGCGCTCGCCGGTCAAGCTCCTGGTCATGGTTACTGGTTCTCAGGTCAGGCATAGACAGCGTCGCAGGCTTGTTGTTGTTGGAGATGAGCACTGCGCACGCTAGGTCCGCAGGTCGGCCAGCCCCGACCGCCGCAACAGCTCCTCAGCTTTACGGCAGCGAATTGGTGGTTGCCTTCAGCGCTGTTGGCAATCATAGCTAAGCCACTGATCTTGCTCGCATCGACACCACGCATGACACCCTCGCCAGTGCGCACCTTGCTGCAGCTAGTCTGCTTGGCGTCTGGGAAACCCTGTAGCATGACGAAGATGGCGGGCACCAACTGCGCATCCATCCGCTCGCGGCCGAAGCGCAGACTACCCTCGTAGGCGCTGGTAGGCTTGGATACCACAGCACATGACGGGGGCGAGGGACGAATCTCTTGCTCGGCGATGGCGGCGAGCCGCTGATCTATGCGTTTTGCAAGCACGAGAGCGCCCTTTTTTGATGTGGCGGGCATGCTGCTTGGTGATTTGAAGGTGCAGCTTGGAGTCGCCGCTTTGGGCCGGGGCTGTGTATTCCTGCTTAAGGTCAAGGTGTGAACTGCGTAAGGGGATGGAACACTTGCAACTAGCAGGCTGGAAAAGCTCTCCAGTACGTCTTCTACAGTACGGCTTGCTACTATGACACTTCTCACATCTGCGGGCTATGGTATGACTAGTGGTGCTGCTGCTAGCTGTTGTTACTGTTTCTGTGGGTGGTTCATCGTTGTGGAGGACGAGTCGCGTAGTGTGAGGCTCGATATTCGGGCAGAAAACACTATACCAGAAACGCTTTAGCGGCGGATTCGGCTTTAGGACAACTCGAAATTTAATTTTCAGCATGGTGCGTCAGTATCTGATCGTATGGCGAACAACGATATACTGGAGATTTCTTTAGAAAGAGTTATCGATGCTACTTCCTTCGTAGCTTTCTGTTCTCTAGCGCTATCCGCAGCCGGGGACAGAAATTCTCAGGCCTTATATTCGACGTTGGCATTGATGAGATTAAGCTCTCCAGCACGGGAGGAGACTTGGGCAGCGTTTAGTTTTAGGGCTGGCCACATGGCTGACGTGTGCTGGGGCCGCTAGTAGTATCCAGTTATAGTAGCTCACTACAATGCGTGCCAAAGTTGATGGAAAATGAGTTGAATCACCTCGGTTGTATGTAATTGGATAAATATATTAGCTTATTCATTATGAGATGGCTTTGGGCTCAGCACCAAGTAGATTGAAACAAGGATCAATACACTCATTCATCAATCATTCGACCGATCAAGCCCCAAATCCCATGATATTCTGTCCTCGCAAAACTCACGAGCTATATTTAGGAACTGACAGCCACTATCCCCTCCGATGAACTCCGACTATAAGATTCATCTGCGTCACGAAGAAATGATTTCTTGTCTGCAACTCCATATCCGGCTCGGCCAGATAAAAGTCGAATTTCCGAACCAATTGCGGCACCAACTTATTGATCTCCATCAAGCTGATGTTTTTGCCAATACAAGTTCTCGACCCATGGCCAAACTACTTAGCATTAGTACTGAAGAGCATCAAATGTGTGGAGATAAGGCTTGCCGGTAGAAAATATCTGTCCATCCTTAGCTTCGCCTCCTTCTCAACAAGCCATCTCTCCGGCTTAAACTGATCGGCATCCTCGCCAAAGACGTCTTTATTCGTATGGGCCACCCATGCATTAATTCCAAGCGTAGTCTGTTTTATGATTAGCTGTGTCTTCAGCTGGAAAAGTGTCAAGGGAGACTTTACTCCCTCCGGGAAGTATCGGCCGGCAAGCTGTATACCACCCTCCGGAACCACCCTGCCAAGAGGATCGCCGACTGCAGGGTATAATCTCAAGCTTTCTTGAATGACAGCTTGTAGGTACGGCATGCGCTGTGCCTCACTAAAGTTGACTGGATCGGAGAGTTCTCCAGCCGCAGCTTTCTCATCAATCTCCATTTGGAGCTATTGGCAACCAGAGTCAATGCATGATTTCTCCTCGTGATACAGGGTACTTGCCTTCCTCAACGCCTCTGGAGTCTTTAGCAAAAACCACATGATCGAAGTAAGAGTGATGCTAGTTGTGTCGCTTCCGGCCGCAACATTCGCGAGGCAAGTTACCATGATGTGATCCATAGTGAAGTTCTGTGGCTCTTCCTCGTGCAACTGCAATAGCTTTGCCAAAAAGTCTTCGTCCTGCAGTGTTTTCTCCGAGCCTTTGTTTGCTTCCATTCGAGCTTCGACCTGCGTTGCTATGAATCGTAAGAGCTCGACTAAGCCGCTTCCGGAGACCATGTTGTTGAGTCTAAATAGCAACTTGTGGAATTCTGGATAGACACCCACAATTGTGCTATATCGTTGATACTTGTGCACGGCGGACATAAGGTGCTGAACGTCTTCGCCAGCATCGAGAAACCCAAAACGCTTTGCAACCTAAATATAGGTTAGTGGTTGGTTATTCTAACAAGGGTATGAAATATTGTATGGACGATTCCTGAGCTTACAGTAATTCTTCCAACAACGTCGAAGGCAAAGCACTGAGTCCAATGCTGGAAATTAAACTTCTCACCAGTTCTATTACTCTGTTAACATCCAGACTTTCTCTACGTATGCAAGTGATGCCTGCATACCTTGAAAAGTCCACAAAGCGTTTCTCGATCAACTGAATACAGTCATTGACCGCATCTTGCATCCTGACCACCATCGACATGGAGTACAAGTTGGAAACCTTTTTTCTGTTCTCTGCGTGTTTCTTGATGTTTCTGTCGGAGAACAAGTCCGAAACGTGAGGGTCAGGTGTGGCAGCTACCGTATACCATCTGCTTTTAACAAACTTCGTACCGGCGCCGTAAATCGGTTTCAAAGCGGCCGAATCATCGATAGAGTAGTAGTTAGGTGCAATACGAACAACTGGACCTGACTGATATGTAAGAGCCTTTGAGTCATAAGTGTGTCGTCTTCGGTATTCTTACCGTATTTTCGATGGAGCTCGACATTTGTCTTGTGGAAGTTGCCGTGCCACGCCTGCCAAAGGAGCCAGATGCGGGAGAATCGCGCGAGGAAGGGCCCTGGTGTAGAACGGAGGGGGTGGAGTAATACGCGCGCAAAAAAGAGAATGAAGACAGCAATTAAACATCCCGTCGAGACGAAGAGAGGGTGGCTGAGGAGAGGATTGGCGACCAAGATCAATGAAGGCATTATAGCGAGAAGGCTCATGCAACCTTTGTCTGAATAGATTTGAGTTAAAGCACTCATGGTACTACTTTCAAGCCTTCTAATACTTCGATGGCTGGCCTCTCTAAACTCATTTTACTTGTTAGTTTTAGACTTAGCTCACGTCGGATCTTGTTTGCGCCGAATTCCGCGTCGTTTCGATCGAATTAGGGTATGATCTTCAATGAAAGTTACCCTGCTAGCTCATCTTCCGGAATCCGCGGCCTCCGTATTTGGAGCTCGGATCTCTCCACCCGTGGGCTCCGGCGGGTGTTTGCGCACGAAATAGCATGTGAATCTTTAGTCTGAGGATGTTACTACGTCCTTTAAAGATCTAAAACCTAGTCAAGGCGGAAAATGTGGGTTTCATTTGAGTAGGTAATAGAAGACATCTAATGTAAAATGGTTACTTCACAAAATTAGTTCTTTAGCAGGCGATGGGATGAATAGAATAACGTCGCTGAGTACTGCGTGTGCGAGGGCCATGTTACTGTAATTGCCACCTGTTTTAGAAACCAAGCGAGAGCGTACCGGAGGTGGGGCTTTTCGGACGTCTGGCTAGAAACACAGACAGAGGAAGCGGGGGTGGTGGAAGGACTTTCTAGCGCAGTAGACCAACATCTTGGAAGGGCCCAGGATCTTACTGAGGCGTGAAGCAGCGGGCTCGCTTAAGATACGCGCCTTCAAAACTAGGACGGCTACACGAAGTTTTGCAAGGAGATCTCGGAAACAGTAATCGAGAACTTCTTTCCAGAGCTTTCTGAAGTGCGGAGGGTTACGAGGACCGAGACGGCCCTGATCTTTGGTGAGTAGATCGAATACAGTAGATCGAACACGTACCGCTAACAATTGATGAGATGAAGGAAGCTATATGTCAGGCCGATCCGTTCAAAGCACCGAGCATGGATAGAATTCCTGCGGCTGTAAGGCGCGAGCTGTAGCCAGCGGTTAACATGTACATCCGCCAGCTGTTCGACGCCAAGGGGATGAACCGGAGAAGGAGAGGTCGAGCCCACCACAGGCGGGACTAAGCTTCTCCCACTGCGACCACCTCCATGACTTAGTGGTGACGGCCAGAGAAGCCAAGGCCAGACCACTACTCTCGACCACTCTAAAACTTGAGGTCGCAATACACCCGTTCCGTATATATGGGTATCACTCGTTCACAAGTAGATAGGACCCTCGTAGTCAATGACAGTTACTGCGGCTGCTATCCGCTGAATTGCTTCAGTGACATTTAGAGAGCGGTAGTAAACCCTAGACGCTTGTGCATCTGTGTCCTCTGCCCCCTACTTTACGAAACCTTCCTCGGCACCAAGGACAAATGTAACAGTACAGCTGAATAAAGAGCAGAGGGGTATCGGTCTATTCCTATATATATTTACTTGAGATAGGCAAGAGGTCCGTCTAAATCTACCATTGGAAGCGAATGAGGCTACTAATGATATCCCAGACATAGTCCACGTTCAGAACTTCCAACGCCCTCCCCTCGTAGTAATCCCTTCATATGTAACAGTATTGACGACGGTTAAGCCCGTAGATTGAACCTGACCCGGATTCCTGTCTCCGATGCTATCATGATGAAACAATCTGCAGAAGTTACATCGAACGTTTCGAGCGTCATGTCGTATTTGCGAAAGATGTGAGAAAGCAAGAGAAAGATTTCCGCGCTGGCGAAGCTAGAACAAACTTAGTTTCTGCCAATAGTTTCACGCCTTTACACACTAAGCTCGCTTACTTTTGTCCTAAGCATGCTCTTGCGCCTCGGGAGAACGTAACAAGGTACCTCTCCAGCTTCTCTGAGCCATCTTTTTCCCACCGATCCGGGTTGAATTGGAGACAATCTGGGCCCCAAAGCTCCTCATTGAAGTGCATACTATACGCTGACATTCCTATGGTGGTCTATCAAGATTCTCAGCATCAGACCCGAACGACATTCGGCAATACTTACACCAGGAGGAACCAATTTGCCATCCACTTCTAGTGGAGCGCTGCCTTCAGGCAAAATCCGCGGAAGGCGTCCTGGAATAGGCGCGGCGACGCGGAGTGCTTCCCGCACGCAGGCGCGCTAATTGGGAAATCAGTCTACGTTCCACCAAAATCGGCCATGTGCAAGTTCTGGGTGTAGCGCGAAGCTTACCAAGTAACTTATCTTCTCCAGTTCTGGAAGGGGAGGCATTTGGTCGGGATCGGGCACGTGTTCGTCAAGCTCGCGAACGAGTCGCTTCCTTATTTTCGGGTTTCGAAGTATATAAAATACCGCCATTGCAAGGGTATATGATGCTGTGTTTGAGCCGGCAACGAGTATGCTCACAGCTTCGGACACAACTACTGTGTCAGGAAGATCCTTGATCGCATCAAATAGAATGGGGTACGGAGTTCTAAGGTCCCCTTTCTTATACCCGTGAAGGCTGCTTTCCGCAAACTAGCAATAGTAAGCCCTCTAACTGTTCTGGAGCGTGGTGGAGGCTCTTCTATACCTTGGTAAACCGCAAGAAGTGCTGCAAAGTCTTATCGAATTTTACCAGCAAGGAGACTGGGAAAACGGTTTGCAGTAGCCGCACAATGGGATGATAGCATATCATCGGCTGCGTTCTGAGTGCTACATCGAAGACAGAAAGGTACTCGTCTCTAAAATTAGTTGGAGAGTGAATGAGAGTGCCAAGAGGCTTGCCGAACATGAATTCTGACGTGATGTCGGTAGTCATGCTGCGGAAAGCGTCAAAAATGTTGATAGGGCTCCGGCGCCGTTCAAATATTTTCTGAGAGAGCCGATAGACATGTTCGAGTATCAAGGGCTCCATTTTCAACGCCATGGTTCTAGAAAACGACGGACTCATCACTTTCCTTAATTCCCTGTGTCTTGCCGGGTCCAGCTCGGTGAAAATGGTGTGTGGTGCGAGGAAAGAGTTGTAGAAATCGCTGGATTTTGGAAGAGGATTTTTTTGGCTGTACACCGTCCTGTACGCTTCTGGTCCCGAGAAATGAAGTTCGTTGGGGGCAATTCGGACTACTGTACTGCCTGTTCACATTGTTAAGAAAGAGCGACCGCGATATACAGTGATGAGTGTCGAGTTGACTAACCATGTTTTCGGTGTAAATTATGAATTGATTCTGCCGGTGATCCCCTTCGGTACTCTCTCCACAGCCACGCGGTGGATACAGCTCCAAGTGTCGGGCCAGGGAATCGTGCAAGTGGGTGGAAATAGACTCGATAAATGCAAAGGGCGAAGACATACCCCACGACAGCAGAAAAAACAAAGACCAACATGTTCCTTAGAGTTCGTCAGCGAGATTATGCTTCTGATAGCGGTAAGTGAGTCTGCCTTCATTTCAAGCCTTTTATCTACTAACTCAAATGCCGAGACTTCGTCTTCTGTAGTTGACTTTTGCTATCGGACGAATTGCAGGACCTCGCTGGATGCTATAGCTTTCGGATACGATATCTTGCCGAAACTCCGGGCCGCAATCCATATTGTGTTTCTTCGGATCTTGACAGCAACGACTGTAAGGCTTGGCTGATGTCATTGGCGGTCAGTGCTCTCAGGCAAACGGACTTCGGTGTTTAAATAAATCCGGCTAAATATAGTTACAGCGCGAGGATCTCCGGTACCCCGCACGGCTTAGGCAAATCGTATTCGCTCGGTATGTCAGCTGTAAATGCCCGAGTTCCGATTTGTTGCGGACGTGTTGAGCAGATCCGGCGGAAGGTGGACTTCTTGCGCATCGGAAGCAAAGCTACCTGGGGGTAGTTTATTAATTAACGAAGAAATAAGGCAAATCATTCGTTAACATTCGATTCGATTATTTTCCTAGTCCTTTATGTACGGTACCTTTAAAACTAAAATGTTTACCAGTCGGATATATGCTAGCTAAAGCTCTTTTCTAAAAAAAAAAAAAAACGAATCGTATTTATGCCGATAGGAACTATGTTCAACAAAAAAAGAGGCTTTTCGAGACTAGTCTAATGAGATCTACGGTAAATTTGACGTGTTACGCTTGTTCTATGCCTACTTAGTGAAGAAACGACAATATGAACCCGCATCCAGGACCGGCTTCGCGTCTATGCTCTGCTGTCACCACCTAAAGTTAACAAACCTCTTACGCCACATAAATCGGATGTTTAGAGGCGCTATTGATATTTCAAGGGTAGAAATTACTTACACGGTGGCACATTTTTAGTCCGATTAGTACGAGGATGGATTCTTAAATCACGGTCATTTTCTGTTCAATGCGGGTTTCATTCAAATTACTACGTCAGGCGTGACGCTATATGAGCATGACTTTCGGGATCTTCACCTTCCGTGAACCAGCTCGGAACTGTCACTCCAGTGGAACGACCGGAATATAATGTCAAGCTTACCAATCACAAGCCCATGTGACTGGCCCCGATCACATTGAGCTTACAAATTCAGGTTCAGAATTGGTCAGGCGACTTGAATCTCTGATAGACCAAGAACTCACAATGTCCGATTGGGCTAATCTGAACGCAATTTGGACAGTCAACGACCCAACATACCTTCACGCGTGGTGAACAAGTTCACTATCAACCTTGAACCCTAAACCACAATATAGTGCCCCCGGCGGTAATCTGTTCTTCTTGCGTGGTGTAGGTGGCCCAGTCACATATGAGATCTTGATCCGTGATTTTGAAGCCACCCTGGCATGGGGATTTGAGCGGCACTATGACTTGGAACTTATCGGAAGGCTCATAAGGCATCACTGCAGGCTGGCGGTAGTGCACAATACCGTATCCGTACCGGCCTCGAATCTACCTTCTCTGATTAGTTTATGCACTGCAGTGGTGGTACTAGATAGACAACCTTGCAAAATCCAGCTATCTTGGAAATACTGTCCTGAAAGTCGTGCATGTGCTCCTTCCGGACCGCTGCAGCTTTTCCATCCTTTCTCTGATCCCACCCATCTGGCGGTAGCCCATCAGCTGATCGTCGCACTTCTGCCTTGGCACCTTCGCTAAGCTGCACTTGATGTAAGTGGGTTGTTGCCTCCATCGCAACAAGTGACCGCCCACCCGTTGTTTTGATGGTTATCGGTTAGAGAGGTGGGAAAGCTGAGCTGGCACTCGGAGGGGTAGAGACGGCAGCGGACTGTTGAGCTACCGATCCGACGGCCAAGGCCTAGCGCTAGCACCATTACGATTTAGCGCAGAAGAATAAGTCGCACCCATACTCTACTCCACCCCGTACCGGCGCCCGGATATCACAGTCCAAGCTTCTCGTGATGCTCTCTGCTTTCCCGTGCCGACTCACACGCCACCTTCGACCAGATGAAACTTACTTTCATGCCGAAGCCGTAGCTGCCAGACCGTCAGTGGTTATTGATGAAAAATGAGCCCAGTCACCTCTGTTGTTAGCGGATAAGTTTGTTAGCTTAGTTATTCATTCTGAGACGACTTCGGGCTCAACACCAAGAAGCTTGGAACAAGAAGGATGCACTCATTCGTAAATCAGCCATTGGACTGACTCAGTGCAGATTTCATCAAGCATCAATTTATTAAGGGAGAAGGTTGGATCTTTGTCTCATCGGCCAACATGGTCACGCAGTTGCCGCATCGCCAACACGTCGAGCCGATGTTATCCCGAGCGATCCCCAGGTGAAACGCGATGACGCCCCCCTCTGCATGTCCACAACAGGCGCCTCTCTACCGACACGCAACGACTCGCTCTTCTGACGACAGGACACATTTCAGTCACACCCTCAAGACCTCTTTCAACTCATTCGGTGCCCTGCGGCATCGCTCGGTCAAGCAGCCGAGGTTCGCTGTGATGGCACAACTTTCAGAGAGCCAGCTTGCCACTATCGAAGGTTACCCAATCGATGATGCGCTCGACTCATTCCGAAGTGCATTCGCGTCAGCTCATCCTCGCACAAGTACCCGAGGTGGATTAGACCATTTGCAGCAGTTGGTCATGCAGCCGGATGTAACAACCTTCCAATGAATAACGTACGCTGATGAACGCAGCAAGGAGGAGCCTTGTCCTGAAACTCATAGGTGCTCTCCAGCTACTAAATATATAAATAATATATTTTCTAAGCGATTTTACTTCTTAGCGATTCGTTCTGGATATCTATTGTGCTTATTATTGTTTCTTGAACCTCTATCATTACAGGCACTTGGCTCTCAGACCTTCTGTCAGCCCTGCCATCATCGACCCAGCCGCCGTCGTCGACTTCTCCGTCTGGAAACACCCCCACCACCAAAGCCGCCATCGCATTCAATCTCAACAGCGAATACTTAACCTTCTACTGCAAAGAGGCGGGAAAACGCAACGTGACACACACCTGTACCGATACGACGACTCCGTAGGCTAGGGAAATGCTCGCAGGGTAGATGTTTTGCCATATCTGCTAACTTTCGAACTTCTTCTCATGTAGAGAAAACATTACGAGGATCGGAAAGCGGAAAAGGAAACCGTAAAAGAAAAGCCCATCACCGTCCTGTGCGCACTCGTCAGGTGGTTCATCGCTCGGTTTGGGGGCACGGTAGCGCAGGCTGGGCAATCTTGACGCGAGGTGCCGTGCCGGGCATCTGTAGTAGTTTCGCTGTCTTCATTGGCGACCGAGCGGCGCCCGGTGAGGGTTACGATTGCGGCAGTGATACTTGGGCTGACCTTGGCGCTGTCAAGCTCTTATCGGATCCGCCTGCTTTGCGTCTCTTCTATGCGATCCGTGGCGTTTTGTTGATGCTCATCTTATGGAAATGAACGAGCGAGAGAACTTTCCGTCAAACGGATCTCCGCTGCACCGCACCCTCTTTCCAATTTTCTTCAATATTGATAATAAAAATGGTTGGAATGGAGTGTCACCTCCTTTGACAAAGCCACCGATCTTCTCCCTGTCTCGGCGAAACACGAAGATGGCGTTGGAATGCCGCAAAACAAGCACGCGCTGAAAAGCATGCGTGTACAAAGCACGCGTACGTTCTCCTTTTCTCTCTTTCTCTGCACCAAGCGCAGCCAAACAATCAGCATCCCCACAACTGTGGCATAAAACCCACGGATGCCAGACCCACCCTCTGGCCGGTCTGACTCAGGCCTAGAAATCACCATGACTCCACCGGGCGAACGCCAACTCGTGCTAGAGCGTCTCGGTGCCGAGCAAAAAGCCGCCACTCCTCCTCCTTCCCTACTTCACCCTGCCGGTGCTACTCACCATCTACCACCAGCCGCCGCACGGTCGCCGTACGGCGTGGTCGAGCCGAGCGGCGTCTTTAGGATGCCGAGCGAAGAAGGGACGCGGTCACTTTGGCTGTCGGTACGTATGATCTCTAATCGCGGCTATGGTGGTGGTGTGTAAGACATACTGTTGATGGTTTTTTTTTGTGGTTAATGAAGAAGCCTCCGAGGGGTATCTCCCCCATTGCCGAATGAAGACAGGCCGGACGCAGAAGAGAGGCCGCCGCGGAGGGCGGGGGAAAAAGGAGATAGGAAAAATAAGGAAGCAGGGGGGTATCAGAAGTGGTGGTGGGCACAGAGGCCAGCCCGCTTCTGGGAAATGGAGCTCTTTGCGTCCTGGACGCCATGTGCAGCTGACGTCTGTTTTGCCAGCCCGCTGGGTGTTGATCCTGAAACTTGATGTGGTGCTAATGATGGCGTGGGCAGTGTGCTGCATTGGGGGGCGCTATCGCTAGAGCTTCCTATTGTATTTAGCGTTATGCACGGATGACAGTTCGCTTCCAACAGCGCTAAGCGAATTTCTGAGAAACATTAGCTAGCCACTGCGCGTGCCAAATTCAAAGCCCCATTCTCGGAGCCAATACCGCACAGGGGAGGCCTCCCCGACGGACGGGATAAGTCCGCGCTGGCCGGGCACGAGGGCTGTCAAAGGACACCAGCCTTTGCGCTTTTCTCGGCGGTCGAATGGTCGAATCCGAAGGTGGCTACAAAAGGTAGCAATAAAAATCGACCGCGGAAACAGCCGACTGACAGAGGAGTCCCGCCTGAGCGTAAAAAGCACCAGTCAAAACGAGGCAGATGGATTGATTGCGGAGAGCAGCCGGGCGAGTGTGGACAGGTCGGGTAAGTGATTCTCAATATTGGGGGAGTCTCAGCGAGCGAGATGCGGCAAATACGCGGAAGGAAGTCGCAGTTGACGACACCCGAGTCAGGTATGCCAGACAAGCAACGTGCGGCATCTGACGATGAGCGCGATAGCTTGCGCATGCAAAGTCTGGCGAGGCTCGCCGGTCGCGAGCGTCGGCGGACCCGTCGCTGTCGCGACCTGCTGACATTGCCTGCTCGTAAGAAGAAGTCGGCCCGCGGATGGCGTGGAAGAGACCTTCGCCCGAGCATTGCGCCGTGGCACGATCGTGCATGTTTGCACAAAGGGCATTTTGGGCGGCAAACACGAGCGCCATGCATGGCGTGAGAGAGGTCAGTCATACCATCAGTCGCGATGACGCACGGCCATGCTCAAGCGCGATGCGGGCGGCGTCTGCTGGCAGAACTTTGAGCACGGGCCACTTTCGTAAGTGTCCGGATATCTTCGCGTGGGGTTCCCCGCAGGTCGCCGCGGCTACCAACCACCGCCACCATGGCACGCCTCCGTTCCAAGCCGACGACAAGCAACATCTCGATGCCAGCATCTGGGACACGCAGCATGGTCGCCACGCTGAGACTCCGGCCGCGCGTCAAGACAGCGCTTCGATCGGGCGCAAACGAGCGCGCGACGCCCGCGCCCGCAGACGACGATCCCGGAAGCGACGAGGGCATTGAAGACGATGAATATGAGGAGAACGCCGACAAGGTGGAGGAGCTCACCGGACTAGAGTATGCGGGAGCCCCGTTCCCGCGCTTGGCGCGGAAGCTCGCAGCGTCAAAATGGGAGCTAGACAATGCGCGTTTCCTGCGCGAATTTTCTCCTGGGATGTGGCGGTCGCGCGATTTCATGCGGCAACTGGTGGATTGGGCCGAGACGGGCACTTTCTCACTGGAAGACGCGCTGAAAGCCATGGCTGAGACGCGTCGCCACCAGGCCAACGGTACGCGTCCTGCGCAGAAGGGCGGTGATACGCGCCTGACCCGCATCAATCGCAAACGCCGCTGGACCCCGCAATGCCTCACAAACGCTCTGGTTGATCTGCAAGAAAATGGCCTGGAGCTCGACGTGGCCATCCGCTCGAACAATCATTCAAAACGGCTTGCGGGAAACAAACAGGCAAGTCCTTTGCACTACCATCGATCTCCGCTGATGACCTCAGTCGCAGTCATTGCCACCACCGCCCAGAGAAGCCCGCCGCAATTCCTCCGTATCCATTGAGGCTCCGCGTCGCGCGGCTGGCAATTCCCTGTCCGACGACCTGTCGCTGCTCCAGCCGCACCTTTCGCCGCACGACACCGACAAGCTCGATGAAGACGACACATTCCAATTTGTGACCAGTGATGAGCCCGGCACGATGGATGCCACCAGCGGACACACCGAGGACGGCTATGTGGGTGCACAGGAAGGTGAGGCGGTTGACTCGGCGCTGGGAGCAGATTTGGTCATGAAGGGAAGCGAAGTGACCAATGGCATGGCTTTGGAAGTAGAAGACGGCGCGGATGAAGACGTGATTATGGTGGATTCCGTGCCTTTGAACGGTAAGCTTCTAAGCTCTGCCTGGTCTACACTGTAGACTTTGCTCTGACGCCGAGGCCGAGGCAGGACGCGCCCATTCGCACAGTGCCTCTCACCCTAAAACGACACCACCAACCGACGTTACCGGTGCCGCATCCAGTCTGCTTCCAGGAGTCTGGGTGTCGGGTTCAGCGATCGACTTCGTGCTCCGCATCTTTGCAAACGACACCCATCGTATCGTCAGCAACACGTTTGTCGACAATGCGTTCAACAACCCGAAGGCCCTCGAAGAAAAGAGTGAGCTACGCCTAAAGCCTGAGCAGCGCCAGATCGTCCTCCCGCTCCACCTCAACACAGGCCACTGGACCATGTCGTTCCTCGAACTGGATAAGAACCGCGCCGTGTTTGCCGATTCCCTTGCTTCCAGTTCCCAGATACCTCATAATGTTGCTTCCGTACTCAAAGCTTTCGTCGAGTCCCTCGGCACATCATCTGCTTCGGAATGGACCTACGAGCTAAGCACGAGTGCCAAGCAGTCCGACAATGTCGAATGCGGCGTACACGCGCTTGTATTTGCCATCCACCGCATTGCCGGAGTCCCGCCGCCCACAAAGGTGAACGCACCGCTCTGGCGACTCGTCTTCAGGGCTGCGTTGTTGGCGTCTGGGCAGGCAGATACCGAGCCCCAATCGTGGGGATCGCCTTTCGAGCTCGAGGAGGAAGGTTTACCGGCGGCTCTGCACCTGGACATTTCGACGAGCTCGGATCGTCAGCTGCACGACTGCGCCGTCACCCTGGAGAGTGGCGCTCGCCGCCTACTACAGAGATTTCAAGAGCTGAAGGAGGGCCCCGACTCTCAGGTAGTCTCGAGCCTTCTTGAAACGTTCCTAAGGAGAGCCCACGACGAGCGGGACATGGTTGAGGAGGTTATCCGCGCGTTACAAGAGCAGATAGCTTCCGCGAATGAGTTCAAGAGATGCATGGATCAGGAGGCGCTCAAAGTTGCGACGGATCCAGCTAAGGGGTACTTGCTGCATAAGTCCGAGTCTTTCGACAAAGATGTTAGAAATTTTGAATCCCAGCTTTTAGTAGCCCGGAGCAAGCACGGCGACATGTCTACTCGCATCCGAGCAATGGACGCGGCCGTCGAAGCAGCCAATGCGGTAACAGAGAAGGGCGTTGAATGGTTGAAGGCGCGTATTACGGAGACGAAAGGCAAACTGCAGACGGTGTGGGATGAATTACAACGGCGCCATGAACAAATGAAAGAGGTACTGGATTCTTTCGAGTGAGCAGTCACGTCTAGAAGTGACGTATCGACCCAATGTATCAAGTCTTTATTACATCGACGTGCTTTGTAGCCTTAGATGCACAGCATTCCAGTGTTTGAGCCCACGAAACATGAACGATTCCGGGTAGGGTCTGATTTTTGCTGGTCAGACTCTCGATTGATGGGTTTCCAACTACGCACTGGGGTGATGTGTGCTTCAGATATAGAAACTCCTGGGGTTGGGTTCACTAGCTGCTACTGCCGCTGCCGAACTATAGTCTATTTGTTTTCCCCCCTTCCGCACCGTTGAGCGGGTCGATAAAATATTTGCAATCGGTCATTCTCCTGACCCCAGCGCTTTCATTCGCACGAGGCTTCATGGGATTCAGCTTTCCCGATGCCCGCGCCACGGCAGGCCTTTCGTTCTCATCTTTCCCGTACCTGGTGATGCCGGCGAGTACAAACATGTCGTCGAGTGCTCGTGACTTGGCGATCCGGGGTTGTAGTTCGCTGGCTTCGTGAAATCGATGGATTTTGACGAGATTTCAGGATGGATGGATGGCCCCAATAACTTCGTCCGTTCTCGCTGCACCAGCCTCACGCTAACATCGAAAAGCAAGTGTCCTCAGTACGCAGTGGCACGAAATCAGGAACCGGCTTCCGGATAGCAGTTAATACGGGCACACAGAGAGCGCAAGACACGCAGACATCTCGATGAATAATAATATCCCAAGCTTTCGATTGGATTCATATTTAGTCCTCTTCAGTCTTCCTAACATCTGCTTTTGCCTGGAGCGGGAGGGGCCGGGTGGAGAGGTCTTAGCCCAATATTAAGTGTGGGCTGGAGATAATAAGGCTATATGTAGAGGAGAGGTGGAATGTAGTAATGGGGGGAGTTGCGGAGGCTACTACGTTCCTACACGCCTTTCCTCCTTTCTACCCAATCGTCTTATTCCTCTTCCTTAGTATTTGCTTAAATCTATTACTATTCTGCGACCTGGTGTTTCTGGAAGGAGGCATATACCCCCCATATATAGGCTCCGGGCCGTGGCCGGTAACGGTTTAGATTAGATATATATTGCAACAGAAAACTGTACACTTATATACTTATCAAACCGGACAACAATAGAAAGATATAGTACTGCTCTCTAGGTCTTATGCGTAAAGTACGCTAGCGGAGCTCACTCGACTCCTCAGCATATACATTCTTATAATTTACAATCTGCAACCGTATTAAATATACCTCATAAGATTGCGTATTGAGACGCCGCAATACTTTTTCCGGAAGTCAGTCGGTTCCTATAGATTACAAACATGCGGTATTGATGGAAAGTAGTGCGTGAATAATCGATGATGGCCTAGGTGATCTAATGGCCAGGCTTTAAGCCTTCGTGTCCCGCAAACGACTAAGTAGCTTCAAATTGCAAAATTGAGATGCGAAGTTCCATCTCGAGATGACAATTGTTAAGATGATTTTTATGGTCGCCCATATGAGGAGAAAGGGCCACTTAGATGAGACTATTATCTACAAACAGGCCCTTACTCGCTGTAGAGGTCGCTTTGGCGCGCCGATTGTAAAGTCGACTTCTATTACTTTACGGACTTGGCTAATAAAGAATATAAACGCTATAAAACTACGAAACTATCTTTAAGGAGGCCGTCCTATATAATGCAGTCTTTACTAGCAGTCCTATGTGGCTTTTTATCTCCTCCTAACACGACAATCTATTCGCCACTGCGTTCACGGCTCGTTGGACCTACAGTACTCCCTCTCAGCCTCTACGCGATAATAAGGATACAGCTGATTATATAAATAACTCTGAAAGGACCTCTTGTATAACTCGTTACATGGACACTGTCACTTTACCAGTAGAAAAAGTCTAGACGGTATTCTAAAAATTTAATGGGTGCCGACGATCTTACTAAACCTCTCGTTCGTGTCGTAAATCGGGTTTTAAGGCTCGTACGCCTTAAAGATCTATATAACGATCTTAAGACTAAACGTTAGTCTTATCGGGAGATTACAATCTTCATTCCGTAAAACAAATCGATCTTTCTTTCTATACTCTCTTTTGTTTCTCCATCCCGCCTTCCGCCATATACTCTCTCTATTTTAATGTTCCTAGCATATAAACCGAATCTAGTAACTAAAACAAATTATCTAAATTAAATAATATTAGATCTAGATTTATAAACATGTCTAATCGCAAATAAAACATGTTTTAAAAGCATATATAAAAATCGAAGCAATAATCTAAAAGTTAATGCGAATAAAGCGGTATAGAGACAGCTTTAGATAAGATGTTTAAAAGTTTTCTGTATCTACCGTAGCCACACTAGAAGATATACGTGTGGATTATATTATATACTAGCCCTATTTAGAAAGATAAAGGAGTAGCTAATATCCGGGCTTTAGAGGGAGTAAATATTTTTTCTTCTTAGAAACGTGACCATATAGTACCATATACATGTAAGCTGTATTAACAATAAATTTACACATCTTTTTTACTTTCAAGCTTATCGTCAAAATACTTAAATGTAGAATTTTGTTCCCGTTTTGAAACCCAACAATTACAATAGTAGATCGATTCTAAGGTCGCGCGTACATTCTTTCTTCTCCTAGTGTAAGAATTTGACTGGAATGTACATTTTCAGAATGACTTGATATAGCTAGATGCAAAATTATGAAGTCAAGATCAGGGTTAAGAATCGTTTGTGGAGGCCTGCTGAAGGTCAGAAAGCTCGTAGAGAGACCGGACAGGCAAGGAGTAGACCAGCGTGAAGCCTTTCTGCTAAATGAAATTCGTCATCTCTAAAAGTAACTAGGCAGTCATCCAACTAGTTCCGTGATGTTTTATGACCGATAGGAATCTTCCAGCTGCTCTCCGACACCGTCGTTCTTGTCACGTTTCCTTGTAGCGAGCGCTCGGCGTAGTGCCAGCAGCAGTAGGCGTACGGCTTCGGAGTAGCGGTGGTGGTAAGCAAGGCGCGCCGCCAGCCAGCCAGCGTGTGACACGAGGTGTCGTCGGTGGCGTTTTCGGTCCCATCGCGTAGGTTTGCAGCGCCGAGAGCAGCAGTGAGCCTGGTGGCCGCAGGATCTTGTCAAGTAGAAGCGCGAGCGGCTGCTCCACGCAGGGGGAATCAAGCATGGCAAGAGCTTGGCCGACGGCCTGGAAAGTCTCAACCAGCGAGCAAAATGATTTTTTCGAGAAAAGATTGGACGTACCTCATCGGAGTCGGCGACGCGGAAGATTTGAGTCCAGTGCTTCCATGTCCTCCGCTTTTCTCCCACGTCCACTGCCTCGAGTTTAGGCGGCCTCCTACGGCCCGAGTGGTGGCTGAAGTCAAGAAGCCAAACACGGCCACCATCGCCAACAATGATATTCTCCGGGTGAAGGTCGCCGTGGTGCAAGCCGGCGTCGTGTAGACGATCGATAATCGTACGTAGGCGACTGTGTAGATGCTTGCGTGTAGCTGCAGAAAGGCTAGGCAGAGCAGCGTGGAGAAACTCCAGCCGAGTAGCACAGGAGGCGCTGAGATGTAACCCGTAGTGGGGTGGGATGTTCGCTTGAACATCTTCCACATCCTTAAGATGCTTGTATGCATCCGCTTCGGGTCAGAAGAGATGGTAGTCGGAGTACTACGCTTCGTAGGGGTAATTACCCCAGTTTGGTACCTGCCTGTTCTTCCCTCTGTTTGCGCATGCCCGTCACAGCTGGTTACAATCGACGAGCGGTGTCTAGGGTTTCTCAATATCAAGTGGGATAACACTCTTATCGGCGTCATTCAAGAGTCGCTACTCGCGACTAGCATTATGCTGGGCCTACGGAAGCTCGGCCTACTACGGTGACCCCAAGACCACCGACCTACCCGACTAGGCCGCCGTGCCCACCATCGCGACGCTGCGCTTTGAGATTATTCTTTGCCGGCGCGACAACAGACCGCCGATTTACGAACCTACCGGAGATGACCCCTACCCGTCGGATTCTCCCTCGCCATGGCCACTTTCCCCATACAACCCACGCCCGACGACCCTGACCCCCGTGTCGCTCTATTCGCGCTACCAGTTCTTGCAGCACTCCGCCACGACCCGCTCAATAGATACCAACGGAATATGCACGTCTCATTGAGGATGCGCTGAATCACTAAGGGCAGAGTCTGCTGAACGGAAGAGAGGTAGCATAGCATCCGAATGAAGAAAAAGAACCATCCGAGGCCTTCTTCTGTGATTTGATGGCCTACCTACTTCAAGGCTGGCTACTCTCCATCCCATCAAACTGTGCTGTACCGTTGAGCCGAACCCCGAACTAAGCAGGAACTACAACCTTGATTTACTCGTCGAATACCGTAATTCCAAATAAGTTTATTCTATGTCCCACGTTGAGACGCATCAAAGAAATTTAACATGAAAAAGAAAAGGAGATAGAACTCTTTTTCAAGGGTCGGACATCGCCCCCGATGTAAAATACAGCAATTTAACCCCTGTATAACAGGAGTGACTGGAGCACAGAAGGGACCGGGTGGAGCGGCTACCTCGGTCTACTGCGGCATGAACGCCTGAATATATTGACGAGTAGCTTAATACCATGATAATAGCTGTACTCATCTCGTCTCTATTGCGCTGGTTAAAAATAGTAATAATTCTCGGAAAAGTGCTACTGCGCCAGCAAACCACATGTCTCCACCCCCGGTCCGTCTTATCCCTCGATCCACCATCTCCAAATACAATGCATATCGATCACAGCAGTGACCGTAGCATATCCACTGCTCGAGTTATTTCCTGCTCAGTAGTTCTTTGCAAAACGCGGCACTGCACCTTTAACTCCGAAACCACCTCACAGAAGGCGCGCAACCTCTTTTCCTTCGCCATCTCCCGCTCGTGCATAGCGTTTACTCCGGACTGCTCTTCAGTAAGCCTGCGAAGCGCTGTCTGAACGGCTGATTTCGTGTCTGCGCTGCTCCCGAGCGCGTCAAGAGATGCGAGAAGCTGCTCTGTCACCCGCTGCGCATCCTGCCACTTCTGCACATTTACACCAAGCCTGGCAACCTCAGAGGCAGCAGAGGCAAGGAGCTTTGTGCTCAGCGCTTCAGCCAGTCCGACATTGCCATCTAGATCATCCAGAACTGCCTTTTTGCGTCGAGTGTGCTCCACAGCGCCACAAAGGTCCGCATGAAGAAGAGCCTGCCCGCAACCGAAACTAAACAAGTCACTCTCAGAAACGTCGCGAGCAAGAGCGCACCGGAAAATCAGACGCCATATCCGGGCGTTAATTTTCCGCGGTATCGCTTCCTTCGCCGCGATGCAGACGCTCGTCACCACAACGAAGATGCCGCCGCAACCGTCAGCATCATCGTCTTGTTGCAGGGGTGCGTGTTGATCAACCTCAAAGCCCCACGCCCCACCGTCCCAATCGAGCCCCAGATATCGCACGATTGCCGTCGCAGCCTCGAAGTAGTCGGAACGGGACGAGGTCCGCGATTCGAGCAAAGAGTCGAACGCCGTAACGTGAGCGCTTGCCAGGTCGAAATGCAACAAGACCCAGTGCCGTGCATGCGGTACGTACAAAGGCACGAGAATGTGCTTGACTCCGGGGTGCGGTTTGTGTTGGCGACGCAAGGAAGCCCAGTCAGCCCACGACGAGCCGGTTGGATACGCAACGTCGATGACGCGCAGCTCGGGAGACCTGGCAAGCAATTCCAGCAAGGTCCAAATGGCTGCGTGTCCGACGCAGCCGCCATCTCGCAGCTGGTTCAAGACCTGGTCCAAAGAGCTGTGCGGGGCGTTGATGTCCTGGCGGATGCCGCTGAGCCTCGACGCTGCCGCCCTGATGGAGGCTGTTGGCGAATCGGGTGGGTCGTCGTCAAACGTCAAAGCTGCATTCGAGAGACCGGCAGAATATTTACGACCGGCTGAGCGACCCCCGCTAGACCGGATTGCCAGCTCCATGACGGGCGAGGAAAACGGAAAGCCATGCGCAAGCAGCTGAGAAGGCGGAGGAGTCTTGGGCGATCTCGGGGGGCTGAGTGAGTCGTTCGCACCAAAGGCAGCAGCTACGGGCTCAGGCGTAGATAGACCATCGACTTCATCCTCCACATCCTCCTCTTGGGTACCTTCATCTGCAGAATCGCTGGCTGCCTGTGCATAGTCGATAAAAAGGCCATTCTCCATGTCCGATTCGCTTTCTGATGATGTAGACTCGAAATCGTCGCTGATGAAGCCAGACACGGAATCTCCCACAAAGCCACCATCCTGGACAGTATCAAGCACATCGCCTTCGAGGTCTCCGTAGTTTTGCTCAAACGTCAGGGTCAATTCTTCGTCCTTGGAAGAATCGTCGCAGCTATCATTATCGAGGACGGGTGAGAGACGAACTCGCTTTCTGGAAGCCTGACAGTAGTTAGAACATGGGGCATAGCCAAGGGCGTTCGGATACGTACTAATGTTCTACGCTTCTTCCGTTTGTGACAAACCGTGACGCCAGGATGGAGGAACGACTTGGCCGCCACGACGTCTTTGGGGGTGAAGAGGCGAAGACGAGGAATGCGCGTGTTCTCCGTGGATGCTTTCCGCTCCAGGCTGGCACGGGTGATGGCGTGACGGGTTTGATGCCAGGAAGGGGGTGGTTCGGTTTGGGAGAGGTCGTCAAGGGCGCGTAGGAAAGACTCTGACAGCAGAGTTTCTTCACCGAATGCTCCTATGAGGTCGTCGATGCTGGCATTCCAAGGCGGCCCGCCGAGGCGCTTGACGGCAGCAGCAGCATTGCTGAAGCTCGTGAAGGCTGTGATGACGACGCGACGGCAGTGCGGCTTGAGTAGAGCGAAGATGGGGATTTTGTTCTCTTGGCAGCGTTTCTTCAGCTCTGAGAAGCGGGAAAGAAGGGCAGCCGATGCGACAGTGGCGCCGGCTTCGAAGGTCTCGATCTCGTTGTGGAGCTCCTGCAGATTCGACATGGTTGGCATCGAACTCAGCTGGGTTTGTCTGTGTATCGTCAAACGGTGTGCGGGCAAAGTTATATGTCTGGAAAGTACGCGACGTCGGTGGCCGACGGGGGAGTAGCGTCGTCATGTGAAGGACAAACACTCCGGCATCAATGCGTTATCCAAGATATGACGACATTCTTTATGAAGTCTTCATGTAATCTTCATGTAGTCTTCATAATCTTCATGTAGTCTTCATAATAGTTTTCATAATGGGCATGATGCGCGGCGGAAAGGATGCCGACGCAGCTTTCCGTAGCTGGCATTATTCTTTGTGCAGGAGACAAACGGCAACGGGAGGGCACCGTTCACGTACTTATCATCCACACCGCTGCTAGTGCGTGCGCTCGCCATGACTAGGGGGTGGCAAGGCGGGTTTCTCTGGCACGCTCATTGACTTGGACAAAGCACAGTCGCGGCAAGGAGGAATTCGCGCGCAGCGCCGATGCGTTGCTGCATTTGCGTGGAAGTCTGCGGCTGCCAGCCAGCCAAACGGCACTCTGGCTTGCAGAATTTTCTCGATCGTGAAAATGATGTCAGATGACGGCCGCTGAGCCTGCTGCCCGAGGCTGGCATCTTGGAGGCTGTCTCCGAAGCTTTTATTGCTCGTCGCATTGCGTACAGTCAACTCGTCGTGTCCTGCCGCGGCCGTATGGCGCTCAGCACACCGTACCGCCTGGTTCGCGTCTTCTACAAAAGTCGGCCGTCAGCTGAGTTGGACTGAAGTGGTAAACTTCGCACAGGGTCAGTTGTCTTTGTGTCATGGATGCTAAAGCTAACTCACCGCTACCATCCACCTCAGTTTGCATTTCTCTCGGGCCACCTCACTCTCCATAATCTCCGCGCACCAGCGGTAGCGGCGGTTGTGGCATCCCGGCCAGGGCCGAGCACTTCAAGCCGGGCCAAGCGTGGTATCGGCCGGTCGGCGATGGAAGTCGATGGTACTTTTTGGCGAGGGTCACCCCAAAGACAGCAGTTGCAGGTTTTAATCGTGCCGGTGACCACTCTTTTTGCCCTCAAGAGGGCCTGGACTGATGGCGTGGTGTAGTAGGTTAAGCCGACTCCCAACACACTTCACCACTGTGGTAGGCCGGCCTTGTTACCTGAGTCGTCTGATCAGCCTGTCGAGGAGGGCTTATCGAAAGCGCCTTGCGCGTCCTTCATAAGCATTGAGGTTTCCTGTTCTCTCTACAGCGCTTGTTCAATGTTGTGCGTTGCGCATGCCGTGAGTTCCAGGGCTGACCTCCTCTGTAGTGCCCCGCAGTGTTGTGGACTTAAAGGCTTCTTTCTCACCACAAGGTGCGATATTCCTCTCGTTACCAGTCGTTCCAATCCTTTTACCAAATATGAGAGTAGTTCGATTGAGCAATGTGTCCTCACGCTTGTGGAGTGTCTGCTGGGTTGGAGCTGATTGAGGCTTTCGCCGTGCAGAAGTTCAGGATTGGTGTCCAAGCTTGTGGCATCCCTCGTAGGATCTTGCCACCGATTTCCCTGTCTCGGATCATGCCGCTTGGAGCAGCCTGACCGTGTTTCCATTCCCCCTTGGTGTGGTGTTGGCGATTTTGACGCAGTGCGCCTCCAGTTCTGTCACCATAACTTCGGGGTCCCACGGTATTTCCTTAGAGTCCGCCTCTAGCGGTTCTCATAGGTCCTTGATGTCCTGTTCCACCGAAAAGCGGTGCCGAATTTTGTTTCTTAGGAGTTTGGTCCTTTGTGCCGGATCTGTGACCGTCATCCCTTCGTTCACTATAGGGGGCGCCCGAAACTTTTCGGTCGCCCTGTGAGGTTGTTGGCGCTTGGGAGCTGTCCTGCACTCGTCATTCTGCTAGGCGGCTGCTCTGCCCTTGGTCGTCATCTTGGTTCCACCTGCTTCTATGGCTGTCTGTAGGAGGCTAATTATCCCTCCTATCTATTGCTGTGGGGTTCCACCGCATTTGCTGCTTTTCTGACCGCATGCCTCAAGTCCGCGAGTCGGACGTTGTGCACTGCGACCTTGGTTTGCCCTTAGGCGCTTATCCTTGCATTTAGGATTGTAGTCCACAGCGTGTGTTAGTATGATTTCGTGTGCAATTCCTCGAGCACTTTAGTCTCTGTTGCTCATATTTTCGTGAACGTCAAGCCTTCTCGAAACTAGATCCTTGCCAGGCAGGCTCGGGTGTGGAAGAGCCACGTCTCGAATAGTAGACTAGGGCACGTCAGTGTCTCTTGAAAGCGAGGCAATCCAAATAAATGTAGACGCCAAGATAGACTGGGAGTTCCATTCCTAGAACTCTGTTCGGAAAGATGTCCTTGAGAGGAGTGCGTTATGGTGGCATTTTGGTGGGTTTTGTGTGGGAGACGCGACCGCGCGATTTTCGCGTTGCGGAAAAACCACGGAAACTTTTGCCTCAGACCACAGATCAGCATCCGACGCCTGATGGACTAAACCGAAAGGACGATATCAGCAATCCTTATCACTGGCATCTGGGTTCATTGTATCAAGTAGATATAATGCGATGATGCACTGCCATCAGTAAAATATGCCCCCCATCATTTTATTTAAATGCTGAGCAATTCTGTCTGACAACGACACGCCGGTCTATTCCCATAGTATCCGCCGAAAAGCACGACCGCGAGTGGTATGTATGTGAACGTCCCCTCTAACGATAGAGTGGTGTTGAAAACATAATGGATTGACGCTGGAAGGGGCACGCGACTAGTAGAGACTATGTATAGTTCAGAGGTGGGACTACGCCTAAATAGGCTATCTATTCTGGGTAAATACTTCGTGCGGCTCTTCGTACTTTAACAAAAATCACCACCAGCCTTACTTTTTTGTTTTTAAAAGGTTAAAAGTAAGTGGAAACATTAAAATAATAATATTAATTAAGTATATGTGTTGCGAATGCAGCAGTGTAGAGACAGTTTAACTAAGTCATTCATTCTTTTTCTATCTACAATAACTGCTGGAAGATATATGTGTGGGTCACGTTCTACACTAAACCTAGAGGGGAGGGCCTGGTGTCTTCTACGCGACTAAAGTGAGTCGCATGGTGGAAACGTTTGTCACCTGGCGGAAACGTTTCCTATACTGTACTAAGCCTGATTTGATTTCCTGCTTAAGCATGAAATAGATTTTGCCCAGTCCGACTTAAATACGGCAGGTCTACTTATATCGGGATGGCGAGGCATGGGCAGGCTTGTGGACTCGGTTTGTTATAGGAAGCGGGGAAAACAAAAAGGAGCCTGAAGGACAGGCTTGGATTATGCACGACGAGAAAGAAAGAAACAGAATATGCTGGATTTGTTAATCACCCAAATCCAATTGCCACATAGATTTCCACTGGGATGGATGACACTGGCGCCAGCAATCTCCTCCTTTGTAGAGGAGAAACCCCTGCCCTGCGGATCTCCGGGCTCCTATTCGATAAATCACACCGGACGTATATCCTCTCATGTCGTTTTTTCCTTCTATTTTATGTTCAGCCGTGTAAGTAGCCCTCGGATGATCCCAAGATACAGCAACAGATTTTGATATGCGATAATCATTAAGCCGCCGCATAGCCACACCCCAAATGCTCCCTCTCCAAGGACAGAGGCCTATACCATGCGGAACGTGGCCGGAATCCATCGTCACGAGCCTCGTGCGAGTTACGAGCGACTCACGAGTACAGGACTGTAAGGCAGTGCGTTTGAATGTGGGTGGAAGCTGTCCAGGCACCAACTATGAACGGCACCTGGACGTCCTCAACATCAGACCACATGTTACCCTCCGCTTCACAGAACACCTAGGTTCGGCCGTCTACCTCGTCCAGCACACCTCCGAGCACTACGCATGTCATTCTAAACTTCCACTCTTTCAATTACCGTGCGAGTAGACGCTTCGATAAGAATGCGAGTTCGAGATTCCCCTGTCCCGTCGAGCTTCATTTTTTTTTTCCTTCCCACACCGTGAGCTTCATAGCACCCTAGTCGGAATACGTTACAGATGCGAACCCTGCCAACAGCAGCGATTCGTGGCCGTCATCATCAAATGCGCCCACGAGCGAAGAGGTTCTGGACACAAAGGTCGACTTTTAAGATGTGGATTTAATCGTCTAACTTTAGTGTGGTTCCAAGGAGGAGTAGCTCGAGAGCCACTCGAGTTTTCAAAACTATGAGCTTTTAAGAGAGGATACCATCAGGTCTCTACGCGAAGCCCCCGGTCGTATTCGCACCAAGTCTTGGGCGAACGAAGAGGAGTACGGCGACGCCCGTTGAATTTACTTTGTGCAGCTGTAGCCTGGCCACTCGGCTTCGGTTCTCTCTTACTCGCGCGCGTAAGCGAATCTACTGGAGAAATAGTCTGAGAGCGCTGCCACAAGCGTCCTCCTCGAGTCCCCTGGCCCTTGGAACCTTCCGGCTTCTCTACATCTCCATCGCCTTCGCTCTGCAGCACGAAGAGACCAAGACACCCCCGGGGTCACTAATCGCTCCAACTTTAGAGGACGACAATATCCGGTCTTGGTGCACCATGTCAATCGTCGCTACTAGGCCGTCACCCAACTTTACCCTTAGTCGACTTTCTTCCCACACCCTCAAACTCTTTGAGTTCCTCACATCTCGTGTTTTCTCGTACTGGCATCTCCGTCGGCCAGTCTAAGCCAGACTCGGTCCGAAACGCCGACTCAGAGCGACAGCTTTTCACACCATCCCTCATGGATAGACCAATGCCGGAAACAGCAGACGAGCGAGAGCACAGGAGAGCAGACCAGAAATCACAAGGGCGCTGGAGTGCCCCCACGCCCATCACCGAAAGGCCTACGAAGAGGTACATAAAATACAGAAGTCACGCCCATCCCGTTGAAGTTGGATTATGGTCGAAGATGGATCCAGCTTTCGAAGGCAATCGTCATATGCTCCGGGCGTTAGAAAAGCCGGTGAGAGAATTGTTGCCTCTGTCGGAGCACCTTGTCAACCTTGAGAGTTGAGACCACCGCCGGTGCTCCAGACTATATTACAAGGCAGCCGCATCTCGACTTTACCTCTATCTTCGAGGTAGAGAGGAACCAGCTGATAAACGTCATTAACCCCCGGCCGAATGGTCTCAAACAAGACGGCTGGAGAGGGTCGTCTTGTAAAACGATCTTGCTCTGTTTGGTAAAACGTCTTGGCAAAACAGAACCCTGTTGATGAGACTTAAGCCCGTGCTCTACAGCGCATCATCACTACGAGGTGCCGCATTATCTAGAAACCCTAGAAACCCCTCCGCTCTGTGCGGCGAAGAATAAAATGCTGGGAAAGATTGTGTCGAGTTCCTTCGCCGGTGCCAGGCCGGAGTCGCGCAGGTGGTTTGCTCTTGGTCACATCAAGACCTCCACCTTTTTTCTTTGCGTACACCCCGAGTTTGCTTGCTCCCGGGTCATTCTGGTCTGTTGCATCCGCCTGTCGTGGCCTTTAGCTGCCACGCACTCCCAACTGCTGCAATTTATGGCCGCAGCATCGTCGTGTGGCACGAGGTCCGCGACCCCGGAGGCTGTCGGAACCACCATCTCCGCGCGTTGGCTTTCAAAGTACGCTGACGGTGCCCTAGAGGTGCGCCGCGCGGTAACAACGTTGCGGTCGAATTGGGTCGTTCTATATGTCTATGGTGTCGAAGTGATGGAGAGGACCCTGCGTCCCTCCGGTAGGAACGCTGTGGAATTCCTCCTTGCTTTTACAGGACCTTTTGCTTCTTGCCAAGGCATTTAAAATTCATACTTTTGGAACTGTGCTTGAGGGTCTTGCGGGCCGGCGGCAGGATACCGGTGGGATGCTTTCGTACGTGATGTGCTCGAATTTCCGATCACCCTTCAGTGCTTGATAAGCCATCCCTTATCACATGACTCGACGCGTCTCTCATCGGGTGGCAGTGTTTTCAGGGTCCTCTCGCTCACTGGCATGTAGACGCGTCGAGCGGGGTGATTACTTCCTTCAACTCGACCTCTCGTCCCAAATGGGTATCCCGGGCGTGTTTTTATGGTCTTCACGGGCCCGACGCGTGCGCACGTACCCGACCTACCGCTGCTTGTCGTTCACGAGCCGTGAGTCATTTGGGTATGCTCGATGTGGCGATGGTGTGGTGGTTGTTAGGCAGGGTCTTAGGAAGTGGCGCGTGGGCGAGGACCCTGCGGGCCGCCAGCGGTGCACAACCTTCGCGTCCGCTTCTCCTCTTCTTCACCACGCCCACACCCCCAATCTCGCTGCCTCGCTCCTGCACTGCCCCGGGCTCCCTCGGTAGCTTTAGCATACACAGTTTCACGGGTATCTCAGTTTCTTCCCGCTTTCAAGTGCTTGCGGCTAACACTGGCTTTCAGAATCTCAGAACCCACCATTCTCTTCCCGCTCTACCATCGCCCGACGATGGTTATGACGAGTGCGATGAGCAGCCCTCCGGTCGTGCACTTATCCCTCGAACCCGCTCCTCGCCCGATAATCGCCGCCACCTCGCCCCGCAAGCGCTGGAGGTACATAAAAACAACGAACTTTGCCTCCGCTTCGCAGTTTCTTCTCCATTCCCGCGAACTTGTCCTCAATATTACCTTCAATTATAATCAGCAATTGTCAGATGCTATCTACCATCTTCATTCCCAGGTAGTTTGACAGAATCCCGCCGGTGATGCTCATATTGCTAACACTGTTTCCAGGCTCAATTCTTTCACCCGTCCCCTTTCACCGCTGCCCGTCGTGCCGCCGCACGCGCCATCAGAGGGCGACGCTTCAGAGCTCGACGAATTTGACGGCACGCGCTCGTTTGATGACTTTGGCGGCTTCGGGCCTGTCAGCCTGGCCCCGGCGTACCGTCCCAGCGCCTCCCTTTGGCCTGGCAAGCGGCGTCGCGTTGACACAGAGCAAGACACTACTAATGGCGAAGAGTAGTTCTGGGGAAGCGGCGGCACGGCCGGCACGCCTCAAAGGGCGTTCAAGGCGCTGTCGGTTTGAGTTTCTCAACTCCCGCGCCTACCGACGCCGTCCGCTGGTTTGACGAAGCTTGCGCGTCCCACCGTGGCGGGTGGCAAGTCTGGCGGCGCGTCGGCAGCTACTTTCAGGCTGACCACCGCCCGGGTCGCGAGTCTTCCAGCTCTTCCGACGATTCTTATCCTCTTGCTGCGGCCTCCCAGGATTTCGCCAACCCCTCGCCGAGCCCTTCTCAGGTCTCCGCTGTGAGCGGCGCCCCGTCGCGCCGTGCATGCGGTCGTGATCGTGGTGGCGACCGCGGTGGTGGCCGCCATGCCACACCCGTCACATAGCGGTGTCAGTCTCACACTCGGCCTGCCCGGCACTAAGTCCTCACCCATGCCACGCATCTGTGTCGTAGCTGCACCGCCGCGCTATGGCGCGGGTCGCTCCTGCCTTGTGCAGGTGAATGGTCCGCGTGCTGAGGATCAAGGGAGAGGCGAAGAAGAGGAAAGATTAGTTAGTTACTACACAGGAGAGTCCTTGCTGATATATATACAAGTAAAAGCTTGGTCACATGATCAAGTCACGTGATTTGATACTCAACACCACCGCGCCTTCCGTTTGCCTGGTCCGCCTCCCGCCCGGCGTCGACTCCGCTTCATCATCCTCTTCCCCACACCATCACGCCCACAATTAGGTACCATGTCGACGTTTCGCCGAAGGTCGATCACGGAAGTACTAAATGCAGGGTCAACTACAGCGACTCCGCCGATCGCGAACCTCCAAATAGTGTCACCGGTCCACCACGGCTGTCACCCTGAACCTCTGATCGGCCGGGGAGATGGCGTATTACGATACCCGAGAGCCGGGCCGATCCTGAATGAGTCGTTCCTTGTAAACGAGGGGTGGTTCGTGAGTGCCCACATCCGCGTCGATGGACGCGCGCTCGCTTTACTGACCGCGGTAGGGGATCCACACCTTCGCGTTTCGTTATTGGCGGGTCCAAGAGAGCGAGTTTCATGTCTTCTTCCAGTACACTCCTGAAGCTTCCCCGGACGACGTAATCACCCCCAAGTCGTGGCTCGCTCAGCCCGAGCGGTTCGAGCTGCTGGACGACGAGAGCGAAGGCGGACGCTGCGTCCGCATCTACGCGTTTTTCACGCCTCGCCCTCGCTCGCAGCCAGCTACGCTGCAGACGATCGACTGCAACATACCTCCTGCATGGTGGATGTCCAGGATTTGGCAGAGACCACCCAGCTTGTACGGAAATGGCCGCGGATACCCCGGCTCTGGATCAGTATGGGTCGCCAGAACCGGAGCCAGGCCGCCGTGGCTGCCGGCACACACTCTGCCCCCGATGAGCAGCGTCTGGCCGGATTCAGGTCCTCCGTTCCCCTTCGGCAAGCTCCCAATTGAAATCCTAGAGCTGGTCTGCGAGGCACTCTTCAGCGCCATCTTCGAGGGCCTGGAGCGCTCATCTGACAAATTAGACTGGCCGCCAGACAGGTACCTCCGCCGCACGCCCGCAATCCTGCTCGTCTCCAAGGCCGTGAGTGACATGGCTCTGACTGTCCTGTACCGTCAACCCCTCTGCCTTTCCAACGGGCCCCGACGCGATTGCGCGACCGCTGTTGTATCCAGCATCACGCACATTGTCAGCCCGACACTCTTGGGGAACCTACGTTTTGTAGAGCTGTCGCACGCCGGCCCCGTCCGTTCCACGTCGCTCCGCAACTTTCTAATCATGGCTATAGCCGTCGTCCGAATCTGGACGGAACACCGGATGGCTGACATGAGAAGGGCAGAGGCCCCGTTCTCGGGTGGAAGGGAAAAGACTGTGCTCAGGAGGATGCTGAAAGTTGACTTCTCAATGGCCGGTGTGGATGACGGCGATCGCTGGAAGCGCGTACGTCGAAATGCAGACGAGCTCGCGGTAGCCTGTGCGGAGTTGACTAAGAGGGTGGTCGAACCGGTGAAAGTTGAGGTTGGACCGAACGCGATCAAGTGGCATCCACACTTGTGGGTCAAGGGCTTGATCCATAGCAGCGATGTCGACGACGATTTCGTCAGTATTTTCGGCTAGACGTCTTTGCTGAGTATCAGACTATGTAGCAGGGTCAATGGTTGAGTTTGCGGGTCTCGGGAGTGGGCCAGCCAGGCGCCCCGTCGGCTGGTCCAACGCTGTCTAGCACGCGCGACGCCTAGGAGCGCGCCTAATCCGAGACATTGGCACGTCCGAACACTTGAGATGTCATAGTGGTTGTATGTAAGCCGAGGACGGCCCATTAAAACCGCCTTCAAAACCCCGGCGCAAATCATATATCATTTATCAACTTTATGAACACTCAATGATAGCGTTTGAGAAGTACGCCGGCTTCTCACCCACACGGTAACTCGACCACCGACGCCGCGGCACCAAATCAGTCCGCCACCCTCAACCTCTCCAGCAATCTTTGGAGGGTATCATTCATCCGGCCGAAACGCTCGCTCGATCCCTGATCCACGGTGTCAACCTTCGGCCGTCAATCGAGCATTCTCATGCTTCACGCCCCGGAGCTCCGCCTGAACTTGGTCAAACTCCGCTCTTGACACCTCCACGGACCCAATCTTTGGAGCCGTCGCTGTCGACGAGCTTATCCGCGCGGAGAGGCCCTTGGCATGCGAACATATCTTCTTTCTCCATCTGCATCATGCACATCGGCTACTGTGATCCTCTCCGTCTTTGTAGACTTCACACATGAAGTTCTGCCTCGCGCAGCCCATCGCATGGGGTCCGCCATCTCGCCGCATTTCCTCGGTGATCCTGCCGCAGTGATGAGTTCTCCCTCCAACCTCTTCCGTGCGCCACTCTTGCCATCACCTGCAGCGTTAGGCTCTTTTTTCCCCACTGCTGTCCCGTCATATATACCAGGGCAAGTCCAGGTCTGTCGGACGGCCCGTAGCTCGGTCAGCTTCTTCTTGCGCGGCGAAGAGAAAACTTCCGGAGGTAGAGCGGCGTTGGCGAGCCGTTCCTCGGGGCGGTCAGGGAGGGTGTGTGCTCGAAAAGCCGGCGAGAGAAATCTGCTTGCCCTGCTGTGGCTGGGCTGGCCGAGTTGAACACGACGGTCGAGCAGCTGGAGTTCCGTCGAACGGCGGCTGTACTGTGCCCAATGAGCCCATCGTAAACCGCGCGCGTTGCGGCCCAGGTGTCCTCCACCACAGTTTGCACTTGGCTGTGGACGTCTCCACGCCCGGGCTGGCTCTTTTTAAAGTTGCTCTCATGCGGGTCGATGCGGAGCGCTGTAAAGGTAGTGTGATGTCGCGGGGCGAGGTGAGTGATAGCTTACGGTGTCAGAAGCCAACTCGCCGTCGGCCATCGTTCCCAGCGTGTCAGCATCGAGGCGCGGTCCGCGACGTCCAAATCGCACGCGCTGCTCCTTCATTCGTGATGGTTTCGTCTCCACGTGTCGCGGCGCGGCTGCCCGCGGATCTGCCGCTTCGTCTCGGTCGGGCTCCTGCTGCGACGCACGCGGGACGTTTGGACGGCGAGCCGGGGGCGCCATCTTCCCGGACAGATCAGCGGCGACGGCGGGATGTGCCCGGCGGCTCTTGTCAGGCGGATGATCGGGCGCGAGCGGCCGAGATAATCACGCCGGGTGCGACATAGAATGGCAACGCGACATCACGTGACGGGTGTCCTCTGGCGCGCTTGAGGGTCGTCTAGGTGTGTGAAAGATTGGCTGTCGCTACCTAGCTGCGCAGCCTGCTCGTCTGTCGGCTCTGCACAGCTCAGGCAAAGGGCACGGCGCGCTCGGGCTGCCGGGCCTCGCTTGGGCAGCTCGCGCTGCTCAGTCCGGGGCGCCTGGGGCGGTCGCGCCGGCCCTGGGTGAGTCGGTCGACGCCGCGCTGGAGGACGACAAGCCCGGTCGTGGATTGCAAGTGTTGTGGCTCAAAGCCTGCCGTCGCAACGGGCAGAAACAGTTGTTTGGGGCGCACCGGCGGCTGCGGCTGCGGCTGCGAACGACGTAATGTGCAGACACTTGCGCCCGCCGCGGCGTCGGACAACTCGTCGCGAAGATTAAAGCTGCTGCGAGCGGCCGCGATTTGACTACAAGACGGTACGGTTGATAGTCTTGGGTGAAAATTGATCATTTCATGGACTGGATTTGAAGACATGGAAGAGCTGGCGTCGTGATGCCAGATGATACCCCCTCCTTGGCCCGTGTCATGCATGATGCCTTGCATAAACAGTCAAGGCGCCGCAGATGCGACGTCCCCCATATTGCCAGTTGTGCTTTCGCATGACTGAGATCACCGCCGGAAGGCTTCGTCTCGAGGCTCACACAGATGGGTGCCAGGCGGAGAGGGGAGTAGGCTATGTGGTTGACGGATTGCGATTGCATAACACCGGCGATGGAGCACTCGATGCTGAGGGCAGACGAGAGCGTACGTCTAAGAGAGGCCGAAGGTATGTACAACCGCGATGGCGTACAACCGCGATGGCGTAGTCGACCATCTTGCTCTCGAGGCCACTGCCCAGGTTGTGCTGAGGAACGAGACTGTGAGAAATACCCCGAAACGCTATCCCCAAAACCCCACTATGCACTGCGTCGTTCCAAGCAGCCTTAGAGTACTGCGCAGACACCTCGTATTCCTCGGACCTCTAGAGTAAGTCGCACATGTCATGATATTCACGGCGTACGTCACGGAATCGTAGTCTTATAGTCCGAGGAAGCTGGGCAACGTCGGGCTCCTGATTATCAGCGAGGAGAAATAGAGGCACGCAAGGCGGCAGTGCATACCTTGAGCACAGCCGGCACCACGCCATCGCATTGCTTGACCTCCAAAGGTGCGTCGAGTAGCTCGTCGCATGGGATAGCAAGGGCTTGAAACGTGGAATAAGTGTATCATAGAGATGATGTGGTGGATTAAGCTCACGGTGTCCACTGCTTTGGGGAAACAGAAAACTTGTTCAATTGATAGAAACAGTTTGGGGTATCTACCGGCTGGGAGAGGAGACTGTACAGAAGTATAGTAGGCTCATCATTTCCAACCTGCCAGTGTGCGCCGAAAAACCCAACAATCCCAACCTGCAACGCCGCCAATAATGCAATTCAGCAAGGCACCCTTGTCCCTACTGGCGGTGAGCCGTGAAAACACCGATGGTGCGCTCGAAAAGCAGCTTCTTCTGGGCGAGGGTGCCCGCGGGCGTGACATCCAAGTCGAGCAGAAGCGCGTTGACTTGCTGTACGTTGAGGCGGTTGATAGCCGTCAGGTTGCGTGGAAAGTTCTCGATGAGCTCGTGTGTATGGACCGAGTACAGCGGGGCAAGGTCCTCATCCTGCTTCATGGGTGTGGCGGCGTTGGCCAAGCGGGCCTGGTTATTCTTCTCCCTGCAGTGGTGCGAGAGTTAGTAGATGGGAGGGTTTAGCTTAGGGTTTATCTCTTACAGCGTTGCCTGCTTCTGCTCAAGTCGGTCGAAACGGCGGTTCATGTCGTTGCGTATGTCGGCAATGTCGTTGCGCATGTCGGTGAGGCGGTGGTTCATATCGTTGCGCATGTCGGTGATGGCTTGCAGGATCATAGCACCTTCGTTTAGGTCAGGCATGTTCGGGAGGGACGAGAGCTCCGTGCGAAGGCCGTCCCAATGGGTCAACATGTTGTCCCAGTTGGGTTGGCGAGGAAGCTGTGCGTCGGGGTTGGCGGCCATGATGATTTGTGGCTAGCGATGTGATGGGGTAGCTTGGAAGACGCGACGTGGGGGTACGCGCCGGCAAGAAATACCTACGCCGCGGCGGAAAGAAAGCCCAGCCGGTCGCGTGGGGTAACCGGAAGCCACCATGTTCCACCCCGTTGGCGTCCACCCCCGATCGGCCGGCCAGCAACCCTTATGCCCCAGCTCTTCCTTAGAAAAAGAATATATGTAAGTAGTTGAAGCTATCGTCCGGACGTATATATAGAATTAAAAATTTGACATTCTCGTCCGGACGATTGCTTTAACTACCCATGATGTGAGCAAAAAACAAAATCCACACTAGCTACCGGCTGCAAGAGGGGACTGTAGTAGGTTTACTAATAGTTGTTGGCCTGCCGAATACTATATTACTTTGTTAGTATAGAGCGAAAGAGAGTTACCGATGAGAAAGACCTTACTAAATCTCTAAGACTATCGCGTTATTTCTCGACGTATATAGTATAAAATCTATGTAAAAATTTATTAGAGCTTCTTTAGAGGCGATATCTTTTCTATGAAGTTATAATTTAATAAATCCGACAGAGTTCGTATACCCATCAAGGGGAGTTAAAAAGATTGCATGGTAATTGTATTCAGCTAACTAGCCGGTCTTTTATAGACCTGGTTGACTGATTGCTAGCATGTTTGGTAGGAATCTACTGGAAGTCACCTGTGCCCGGCTTGTTTTTCTAGTAAAGGGGTGTGATAGCTCCACGATACGATTGGGCCGGCCAAATAGTTGTTGTGGGTCGGCCAAACGGGGGTGGTTGCTGCTGGGGGGAACAACAGCAACGCGGCCACAGCACGCCATCACGTGCGACCGCTCGCGCCGTGCGCATCCGCTCATCAAGCGCCGCCATTTCCGCCCATCATGACAGCGGCGGCAAAGCCATCATCCCGAGCGAAATATACGTCCGTCAATTGCCCCCAACCGCCGTGACATTCGCTAACAGTTTTCCACAGGCCGAATTTGCCCGCGTCACCCGGCCCTACCACCGCCTTCGGCCACACCACTACCTCTGTCCCATGCGCGCCGGAGTCCAGCAATCTATCCATGGCCTTCTCCGACGCCAGTCTGTCATGCTCCAATCCGTGATATAAATCTCTGCGACACCGCCCTATCGCAATAAGCGTCGTGGCACCTGCTCTTCGCGGCCATGGATCCCGATAGCTCTCGTAAGTCACCGCTCCTCAATGCTATTGTCCGAAGCGTTTGCTCATTACAATGTCTCAGTGATTGTATGGCAAGCTCAACATCGGGGAAACTCCCAGGCACATGCAAGGTTTTAGCATCTCTCCGCAAACTGGCGGCTTGGGCGGAGCACGACTTCAAAGATTGGTTCGTTGCCGGCATGCTCTATGGCACGACCGACATCGTTGGATGTAGCTGGCTGACGCTTGGTTACCTGGCGGCAAATAGACTTTGGAAGTTTACCTCGGCCCTAAAGGACCCCTGCTTAGTGCTTACATCCCTCTACAAAACCCCACCACTCCTCTTCCCCCAACCCATCATCTCCCTCACCTCTCTTTGCGATGTCGTCAACGAGTAAAACTCCCGCAGCCGAACCCATGACCAAAGGCCACATCGCGGCCTTCTACAGCACCAACAATGCCGAGCAAAAACGGCTCCACGCGCAGCACACCATCGGCGCCGCCGCCTTCGACAACCAGCTGCTCGTCTTCCCCGGCGCGCAGGACGTCCTCGCCCGGCCCAACCTGCGCATCCTCGACAACGCGGGCGCGGATGGCTTCTCGTTGATGGAGCTGAGGCGCCAGCTGAAGCATCCCGAAAGCGCGGAGCTCGTGTCGGCGGACATAGCGCCGTATCCCGGGGAAACGGCGGAGGGGGAGGTGGGGGTGGGGGTGGGTGAGGGCGTGAGGCTGGTGAAGCAGGATTTCATGGAGGAGTGGCCGTGCGAGTGGGAGGGGCGGTTCGACCTGGTGCTGCAGCGCACCTGTACGTCGTCTTCCAGAGTTTCTTTTCCCATTCCATCACCGTGCAGCTGCTAACACTTCCCCTCCAGGCCTGTCCTTCCACCCCACCTGGGCCTCCGCCGTCGCCGCGACCCGCCGCCTGCTCCGCCTGCTGCGGCCAGGCGGCTGGATCCAGCTCGTCGACGGCGCGCCGCCGTACGGCCCCGTCGACCCCGCCGCCGACCCCCCGCACGCGCGCTTCTTCAAGTCGATCGGCCGCGCGCCGTCGCCCGCCGACGCCGCCAACGGCATCGACCCGCCCATCCCGCACCGCCTTCCGCAATTGCTCGCAGAAGCCGCTGCCGCCGCCGAGGAGGAGGGCGTGCATTTGGAGGACGTGGGCGAGCGGAGGGCGCGCTCGAAGTGGGGCGCGGCGGCGAAGGGCAAGGAGATGCAGGACTTGGGCGTCGAGACGGTTGAGGGGATTGTAAAGAACGTGGAGGCGTTGTGGGAGCGTTATCCGCAGATAAGGCGGGTTGGACCCGACGAGTGGACGACGTTGAGCGCGGACGTGATGAAACAGGTCAGGGAGGAGGGATTTGAGATTGATACGGCGGCGGTTTGGGGGAGGCGGAGTTTGTAGATGGTCTGCAAGTGCGAGTCGGGCGTGGGGCTGACGGACCACACCGCATCTGCCTTCTACTGCTCTAAAAGCAACAGTACACGGGCCTGCCCCTTCTCCGCGGGGACGGCTTGTGTAGCTCATAGGCTACCCGTTCTCATGGACGGATAGGCGAATACCACGCCTCTGCGAAACATGACATGTTGCAATGCAGGCTCATGTGCGCCCAGGCCGCTTCCAAGCTACCCTACGACAATCTCATATTTGTGCCCGGTGCTGAGTTCGACGAGGCTTGCGACTCATTCTCTCTTGTCATGTTCGACCAGCGCCGCAATAAGACTGTTGGGCATAAGATCCATCGCTAATCTCTAGGATCTTGGTGTCGCGGTCGCGGTCGTAATGGCGGTCGGGCATCTGCCGTCGGTGATGCTTCGGCGACAAGCAGTTCAAGTACGGCAGGCGCACCGGCCAGTGACGCTGAACCTCCGAAGCTGCACAGCCGAGACTTGGAAGACAATACGAGATGGAGAAGACAATATCGATTCGTATTGAAAAAGGCTCCCTATTAAGAAAGTCCAAAATCCTCCAACAAGACCACATCCAATGCTTTGTCGGGTGCCAAGCTCAATGTCTGCGGCGCAACCGAGTGCTCCTGCGGAGCTTGGTAGCTGCGGCGGCCTTCTGCCTTGGGGTTGTTGTGTAAGGCAGGGCGCACGGCAAAAATGTTGCTCAGGCAGGCTCCACCGTTAGTATCGTGCCAATGCATTCGATGAGTGGCTTACAGTTCTTCCCGAAGCGCAGCGGTTTTGCGGAACTGCTCGCGGGTGATCGGGTCGAGTTCGGCACCAACTCCGTCCTTGTACCTGTCGAGGGCGGCGCTCAGCTTGGGCCTTACTGGTGTGAATCGCAGTGGCGAGCTTGCCCCTTGTCGGGGCCCATCTGACCGACCTTGTTGCCCGTGCTTTTAAGGTTGCTGCCACCGGTGGCGCGCAGCTGGCTGGTCAGCTCGGCGGACGGGTCGGCGATGGCCTTCAAGACGTCCCACTTGGTCGGGGGGCTTATGGCGAACCATCGGCTGGTGTTTGTGTGCTGATGGCTTTGCTTGGGTGGTGATGGTGAGGAAGTGGGAATAAGAATGGGAGCAGCTTCAATTGCCGCCTAAATTGCGCTTCAGCCGATGACGCAGTCGACTCCAGCTGTTAATCAACTTCGGCTACCTACTTTATCTCTGCGTCGCTCGTAGGTCGTTATTCATTTTTTCTGCACCTCTACAACCTGGACTAAGCCCCAGCCTCGATCGCCGTCGACGTGGCCCAACTCCGTCAATCCCTCGAGCAAGTCAAAATCATACCTATTGTTAATGGCACTGGAGGCTTTCTGCAAGCTATAGCCAATATTAGTGAAGATTTTAGTAGTCAGATCAACACCTCCACACGACAGTGGGTCAAGTCGAGGCCGAGCGGGAGGCGGACAACCAGTAGCTGAACGGGACGTTATTGCCGAGGTTGTAAGTTGGGCTAAATGCCGGGACGGCAACGAACTGCAAAACAAGCTCATCCCCTGGAGTTAGCGTGTCATATCTGCGTTTATGGTGGCCTGGGAGCGAAAGAAGAACTACGAGCGACAAATCTTCTGCGTAAAATTCTGTTCTCAGGCGCTTATGAACCAACGTTAAGCTCCACCTGGCGATAACCCTGATCAGGACCCGGACGTTCGTAAACTGCTCAACCGAGTTGGACGTGACGCGAGCATCACTGCCTTGTTAAGTCAGCATGGACAGGGGGACGCTCAAGTTCTTGCTAGCCTTGCTGCCGGATCTTCTCAGGGAGACGGTCAGAACAAGAATGACGGCGATGGTGGTGTTTTTCTGCTAATCAGCTACACCTACTGGGCCGGGCAGAGTTCAGGTTTCCCAATCTGGACAAAGAAGTCTTTTTATTTTATCATTGGGTTGGAGCGATTCAGGCGTGTCTTTTTTCTTTTACTCGGCTCTCGTTGCTTTCTCTTCAGCCTTGGGGATTGCAATAGCCAAGCCGGCTACGATCGCTTCCTCGAATATTGCAATCAGAACCGCGATCGCCTCCGCGATCGTTTGCGCAGATTGCTGGCAGGATCCTACCTACCTACCCGCCTGCCACCTGAACAAGAAACTGAGTGACTTAACTTCTAGCGGCTGGGCTTTCTACACTTTATTTTCTTTTCCCATTTGGTACAAAGTGATACTTATGAATACGATTGTAGATGGAAGCTAATAGTAGCAACTACGGGATGGTTGCTTGGGTAGGGGGGGAAGACGTATGAAGGGTGGGAGGAGTGGCAACCACTAGTGATTGAAGAAACAAGGGAGAAGAAGACGGAATGATTCGTTCTATGTGTAATTTCATCCTTCTATTTCTCTATTCTTTTTAATTTGGCGCTGGGGTTCTTCAACTTCCGTAGGGGCAGAAATGGTGTTATTGTTTCTTCAACGAGACTTTTACCCGTTAACTAAATGAATAACGAGTCCTTCTAATATAAGGTAAATACGAAAATCGACCTATATTTGTTGCGAAATTATTAAAAGTGACCTTTTTATCTAAATCTACCGTCTTTAACGCGTTGCAAATTAACCACAATACTAAATATAGGTTTTGTATTAATGATTTTAGTAACAGTTGAGTCTAGAGAAATCTACTATAGTGGAAAAAAATATACACGTTTTTATAAAAGAATGTTGCCTGTACGAACTAAAAATACTTAGGGTCGTATTTAGTAGATGTACGACAAACATGGGCCATTTTTCGTAATTGCCCCCAGTATTATTGACTACTTTCTTCACGTAGGCTCTCAGACGGCAAGCTCAGTCAAGCGCAGTGTAAGACCCATGCGCCACAAAGCGCTCCCGCATCTCGTCTAGCATGTCTACTAGATGCTTGACAACGCCTTCATCAGCAGCAGCTAAGAAGGCTCGCTGTACCACAAGCATCTGGGCGATGTTGATGAATTTTACAAAGTTAGAGCTCGACAGTTGCATCTCCCGTGGCTCAGTCCCGCACCTGCGACCTCGAGCTCAAGCAATCCCCCGCGCTCGTCGGCGGGCTCATTACGCCGCCCAGCACGCACGACGCGTCAGCCCTCTCCGCCGACTTCTTCAGCGAGGTGTGCGGACTTTTCCTGGGCGAAGTCGACGGCAGCGCGACGCTCGACTCGCTGCTCAGAATCGAGCTCACGGTCGGTCTGAAGCAGACGCTTAGCGTCGAGCTGGCTGAGAGCTGCTTCGCGGACCTCAGCATCGGCGAGCTGCACCGCGCGCCATTTTCGTTAAGCTGGCTCCCACGCCGCCATCCACGCCGTCGTATTGGCCCTCGAATTCGCTTCCGGCATCGATTCGGCCGTCACGTCCCTCGAACAGCTTGCCACGCACTACGTTCGCGAAGCAGATATGGGCAGTTCTAGTTTCTGATAGTGCCTGCGTATTTCGGAGATACATGTCTAAATTTTCTACGCTTGACATTCCATCCACCGGCTCGGTGCCCTAGCAAGCGGCCGCTCTACCTGGTCGCTCAAGCTGCGGCATGACAGCGTACGCGGGGTTGGTGGTGTAGAAACGGACGTACGTTAGAGCATTCTAAGGAGTAAGGTGGGGGGCTGCGTGACGGTAGCCACATCCGAAACGGCGATGGTGTTTACTTCCAGGTGCAGCCCCCTCAGTCAGCACCACAAAGTACGCTTTCTTCACTTTCTGGTCCGATAGCCGGGTTGTGACCGGAACTTGGAAGTTGATGGCAAACGGTACTCGTCGCGACGGCGCAAAAGATAAGCTGCTGGTACGACACTTAGTGGCACGGTAGTGGCATGGAGAAGAATGAGGAGACGGAGCGGAACCTTAATTTAGCGCAGCGCCACATGTGTGCGTTAGTGCCATGCTTAATTTCACCTCCGAACATGCTACGCACGCTGCCCGCGCGCCCAAGGAAAACGGCCTCACTTTTTGTTCACCCGTGCCCATCACTTGAATATTTGCATTCATGTGCTGAGAAAGACTCGCTTGGGCATGTGCTCTGTTGGTATCTGATGAACTGATGAGAAAATATATAGGTAAAGACATCCCTCGCTGCCGCACCCGGCGTCAGCATGCAACGAGGTACGCGCCGTCAGCAGAAACCAACCGCCCATGTCAGACCCGCCGGTGTAACGTGGGCGTTTGCCCGCGACACCACATCTCAGCGCGGCCGGCGCGATCTTCGCCGGTCCCCCCTTCATCATCACCGCCCTCTCACTGCTGCTGCCGTGCCTTTACCCCCGCGTTCTCCTCATGCGGTTTCCGCTGCGCCTTCATCGCCATGTCTTCTCCACCGCGCCTTCACGCTGTCTCCGCTGCGCCTCCTCCTCCTCCACCACGTCTTCGCCGTGTTTCTTCAGCTCCCATGGCACGTTCTAATCAGGAGCCGCCGTGAACCACACAACAGAACCATATAGGACATCTAGACATTCTACTTTAGCCTACCGATTGGGGCCACGTCTAAACCATACGCCTCACCAGACTTTTGCCTTTGTTCGTCATTCTTTGACCAGCAACCAGGCTAACCATATCTTCGCAGGCCTTTGAGACTCGTACGCAATGAGAGATGGGTTTTGATAACAACCTTCCCCTTGATACAAGCGACTGTGGGGTTTGATTTCGTTCTTTAATATTCTTCTCCAACAGGTTCGGCGCTTCTAGAATTTAACTTCTACTGGACTTGGAATACCGAGACTGGGAGCCTGGGCGTTGAACTTAACCTCTCCTGGACCTGAAGTCCTAGATCTGGAGGGCGGAAAAGATTTCGGAGGTACGGATTCGGGACTGGGCAGATCGCTAAAACGAGACTGCATAAGGCAGGTTTGGGGGTATATCGGTTGTAGAAACCGTTGAAGCGCGCAAGGCAAGAAGAATTAAAGGTCAGTACGGAGGCAGAAAAGTCCCGTCCGCTTGATCGCAAGCGCAAGATGCGGGTCAGGTGAAGTCGCACACGGGCCTTGGCGGGAATGGCGACGACAATGAACTCCTCCGTGACGCGTACCCACCGATCCCGTCCTACCATGCGGCTACGCCGCCGCCCCACACATTCCAGAAAGGATGGGCCAGACGATCTCGGGGAGACGAAGACTTGTGTGCTATGTGCGGGAAGTTGGAGCTTGTCACCCATACGTTCGCCTCGTTACGGGGTTCGACGAACGCATTAGCCTTTTTCCCTTGTAGCGTTACCGTTAGCGCCGCCAATTCGATAATCTCGCCGAACGGATGGGTAAAGGCGAGGAAATTTCATCTTACTACTCAGCTGTTAGCTAAGAGTGGCCCTAGCCCACTACACGCCTTCGTGTAGGCCCTCTTAAGGGCAAAAAAGATACTGGAATGTGCGATTACTCAGATATGGTCAGTTAACAAACCATGTCGGGACTAATGTTAGTGACATCAGCCCCCCTCCCTTTATTTTTTAATCGAAGAACTTTTTCTCCTCTTTTGCTAATATGTCTATGACTATACACAGGGTTTACCACCGAAGCCCCGGAGTACCACTTCCGTAAGACTAAGTCCCAGGATGGCGGCCACGGCGGCTCTTCCCCGCGTAAGACCGGCGCTGCCATGCTTAAGCCATATTAGATGGGTACCGCCGCCGCTCGTTCGATCCGGTACGGTGTAGAGGGCGGCGGCACGGGGCTGGCGCCTTTTTCTTCCTCCTCATCCGCAGCAATCTCGTTCTTCTCTAGAATTGGCCTCTTCCACCCTTGGCTTTGTTTAGTCCTCTTGCCTCCAGTCTCTCTTGGGCGCATGTCGGGTAGTGGACGTAAGCCTTCGCGGTTAGGTCTTATTATTGCAGATATCGCAGTCCATATTGTCGAGGCGAGAGAGTATTTCGCGGTTGGTGGGGGAGTGAAGGTCGGGTAGGGCAATATTCAAAAGCATTTGCTGTTCATGGCTCCAGACGGCACGCCGTTATTCCCCATCGACGTGTTGTGGCGCAGGGTACGTGCGGCTTGGGTTGCGATTTCTTTGTGGTCTCTTGTGCCGGCCTGGACACTAGGGTCCTCGGGTGCTGTTCCTGAACACGGGAGTGTGGGGACTGCGCGAGGATTTTCTCTTGTTGATGTGGACGGGTCGGAGGACCGGGTAGAGAGGCTGGATTCGGCCGCCGGCCTGTCGTTATCTTCTGTCGATGTGCTGCCGAGTACCGAGTACTACAGCACGCCAAATGCACCGACGCGGTCATGAAGGGTAATGATGATCGGCTATAAAACATGTTTGCGCCGCCTGTAGGTATCGGACACCCGCCTCGAGCTGCTGTCCCGTTTGCGCTGCTTTTAGCAGTTGCACCACCCACCAAATCGGCCCAAGCAGCAGCATCTCAGAAATCTAGGTATGAAATGAACTGCATCCCGGCAAGGGGTGGTGCGTTACGACTCGCATTGCCCGACTGCGGAGGGGGACAGCGGCGTCTGCGTCCGGACTTTCGACACCGCTCGGTTTATTGGGCTATGATGAAAAATCGTCTTCGAACTGCAATTCGAACGACCGCAGCACCGGCAAAATCTCGAGATTCAGCGAAGATACAGCTGGCATTTTCCAAAGCTCCGAATTCGCAAACAACGTTGCTTTTGCGTACATAGTTCCGACGCGAGTTTCGACTTTTAGCCGGGGAGCAACGCAAAGAACTCGAGTACCGTACTTTCTGTAAAGTCTAAACATTACAAAGCTCTTGGTCGTATTTTAGCTCCTCGATTGGTGGCAGAAATCTCCACCGCCTCATGTTGCATGGGTGATCCCTACCGCCAAGTAGCCCAATTTCACGTCGAGCCTCCGTTCATATCTCAACGTCCATGAAACATGGGTATCTACGTTTTTTTTTTCAAGAGCTCTCTATATCTTTCTCTTAAGCAATATAATGCATCGCCATACGACTGCCACGTATTATACTGTGTTAATGGAAGCTCGAAAATGTTGTCCGTACAAACAAAAGGCGTTGTGGCGCAGACCGCTCTAAGCGAGCAACTTGATGTCAAAACACAACAACGAGCGCTTCTAAGTATCAACACAGCGTGACGCACAGTAGTCATATCGTGATGCAGCTTTCTGAAACTAGACGAGAAGACATAAGAAGACGTCAAAAAAATTTACAAGAGCAGCACTGTAGATTTCGTGGAGAAAAGGTGTGGTTTTGAGAAGGGCGCGTCACGCTGTCACTCGCGCCCCCTCCTCCGTCCGGGCGGCGATTCTCGATCACGATCCGCTAAGCTGAATTCAACTCTGACCCCAAAAACAATAACAAGCTTACCTGCCTAGGTTGTTGTAGACGCCCAGGTCTTTTATTTTCCATCCAACTCCACGCACTCCCGGCTATCGATAGTGTGTCCCCATCTGATATCTTTATAGTGGGAGCCGTCGCCGAGTGTCATTGCCATGGCCGTACTGCAGCAGATCCAGAGCATGCCGGTCTCCTCGTATCATGACGGGCGAGAGTGACTGACCTCGTGGGGTTCGAGATGGCGCAGCGGGCAGCCGCCGCCAGAACGGCAACGCCCAGCACAGTGTAACGAGGAGGCCGAGCGCGTTTAGGGTCGCCTCGCAGTGAAGGCAAAACAACGTCAGCACTTAGGCAGCGATGCCGGCGGCGATGGGAGGCGGCGGCCGGTGGATGGCCCTGACCTGGCCCCCCTAGATTTTTAAGGCAGTAGTACCAGGGAGGCTCAATCACTGCTGCACAACTGTTGCCACCAATACTACCGCAACACGCGTCAGTATTCTCCGCTGTCTCTGTCTTGCTCTCCGATATTACCCAGTTACCATCGCCGCCACTGCTACGGTTCCGGCGCAGTCGTCAGAGAGCTCGTCGTTAAGCGCGATACTGAACCGTATCAAGTCCATACGGCGGCCCTCACGAACTTTGGTCGGAGCGCATGGCCATGCGGAGGAGAGACAAAGGAAAGGAGCCTAACGTGCGGGCTGGCTGCTAGACCAGGCTGAAGTGGCAATTCGGGGACCCGGGCCGACGTTGTTGTTGTCGTCAGTTGGCGCTCAGGTAATGCCCTGTGCATGTTAAATCTCCTCCAGCACCTGCTTGAGAACGCCGCCCTCTCTCTCTCTCTCTCTCTCTCTATCTCTCTCTACTACAAGAGCACCCCCTCAAGGAGCAGTGCACGAGATTGCCGGGATGTTCAGAGCGCGGCTGTCTGCTTCCACCCCACCCCCCTCCTTACCTTGAAGAGCGGGCTGCGGCGAGCGTCCTCTACAGCGTCTGGGCCTGATGTCTCGGGTTCGAGAATTCTGCGGGGACGGGGCACCACCACCACCGGCAAGGCAGGCAGGCGGGGCGGCGACTGGCGTGTAGAAACTAGTCGCGGACCACCTCCGCCGCTGGAGAGGGGAGCCCCATCATCGCCACCCACCCAGCCTGCCAAGACCAAGCCGACGAATGATATCACCAGAAGCGATGGCGCTGATCTTCGCCGTGGCGGGGCGGGAGAAGGAGGAGGAGATGGAAAGGCGGGGCTACTGGCTCGAGGAGAGGACCAACGATGAGCGGAACGGGAACAAGAACAAAAATAACGAGGAGATGATGGGTAGGTCTCGGCAGCACTTTGGAGGGCGTAGGCTAGTATCGATCGTTGCTCGTCTGGAGGAACCTCGGCTAACTCGTTGATAATAGATAGTTGGTCAGCCGGGTGAACTTGGTTTAGCATTCGCTTGAGGGAAGCGCGGCTGCGCGGCGAGTGTTGTGCGAGGAGCTGTTCGGCCATGTCTGCGTGTGGTGGTGGAAAAAGGCCGAGCGAATGTAATATAAATAAAGAACAAACAAAGCAGAAAGTTTGCCAAGGCTTGGCCATTTCTTTGGTCAATTCTTTCAAATTCCGGAAAGATGGTGCGCCTTGGGGAAAGCAGCCGGGCATCGGTCGGTTTTGAGATGGCATTGTCACGTCTTGTTGTCCGACGTCGCTCGGCGACCAAGCCTGAGAGCTGGGAGATGGCGGCCAACGAAGCCGAAACTCCGAGCCGACGATCAATGCCCCGCACACGGCAATCTGCTACCGCCAAGCTGAGACGGCCAAGGATGCGGCTTTCGCGCGCTCGGCGGTCTGACTGGCGACGCACGAGCCATCATCGCCGTCAAGTAAGACATCTTGGGCAGAGTGCTATGCGGCTTGCTGGTGTGGCAGGGTGCGCGATTGGTGAGGGCGGCAAAAACGGTGTGGAGTGGGTGAGCTGGCTCGGAAGGCGCGTTGCTGACCTGACTTTCACCAACCGTACGCCGCTAATCTATTCCAGGTCGTAGCGTCTTGGCGCACTCTACGCCTTCCTCGTGTTTCCCGCGAACCCTCACCCTAGAGCATACGCGCATCTCATCGCCCAACTTGACGACTGCTCTCATCATCTTCCGCTGCGCCTGTAGCGCGCCCGACGGTTCCTCGGTAAAAGCCGCAGGTCGCTGCTTGTACACCTGGCTGACAAGCATAACCGCTGACCCATGTCACAGCAACAGAGCAACGCAAGTCTGCGCTCGAACACTGTACCATGTCAAACGGCGACGCTTGTTCCTACCCGCTAGATGGAAGGGAGCTCTCAACTATCGGCGACGGCGAACTCGGTGGACAAGTCGCGACGACGAACAGCGCAAAATCATCCTCAGGCAAGTAAAAGACGCCGTCGTCGCCCTCAGGACCTTGACAAGGGAGACGCCCGGCTGCACCGAGTGCATTCCACTTTCCATAGACTCTCCGGGAGATGGATCAGCTCCAGCAGCCAACACATTTCGCCCTCACGCTCGACAAATAACATGCCCCATTGATGTGCGATGAGGTACCCTAGGCCACGAGCGGAGAAATCAGTCCCGTTATTCTGCAAGAAACCATCGTTACCGTCTGCGGCATGTATCGTCACGTTTCTCTCCATCTAACCACGTCACTTGGGAAGTCGCGCCGTAGGTAGCAGGGGTGGAATCGGGCGCTACATGGCGGTTCATTGTCAGATGACTCATCGCTTCACATGACACTTTCGCTTGCATCGATGACGTTTTCGAATATGATACTTGGCTATTAATAGTAACTCATGCTCAACGAGGAAAACCCAGTCCAGGCGCTCCTCTCCCTATCAACGCTCCGTCGTCCGCATCTCCTTTTTCACCACCCCCCCAAAGCCCAGCTCAGGCCCAACACGCCGGCAAACACGAGGGCGGCACCCGAGATGGAGCTATGGAGAACCATTTTGGCGGCAACACCAGCGTCATCGGCAGCAAAGTCGGCAGTCCCCGCATCACCATCATCATGGTCACCGCCATCGTCGTCGTTGCTGTCGTCATCGGCGGCGGAGGCGACGCTGGGAAGCTTCGAAGTCATCGACTCGGCCTGATGCAGATCAGCAGCGGCGTCTCGCGACGCCTCGGGCTGATCTGCCGTCAGGGTTAATTCGGCGGCGCCGGCGGCGCGGTGGTTGGCGTCGTCATCGTCCTGCGCCTCGGCCTGGGGGATAGCGGCGTCGACCAGGCTAGTCGTCGCGGCGAGGACGTCGTTGGCGTCGCCACTACCAAGAGGGTTGTCGTGGAGGAGGTCGCTGGTGGCGGTAGTGACGGTCAGCATCCGGCAGTTGGCCAGCGCGAGCCGGAAAGCGAGCCGCTCCTTCTCGGCGCGGACGCGGCCGACTTCGTCTGCCAGCCTGTCGGCCCTGCCGCTGCTGGCTTCCACTTCGAGCTTAGATGCGACGGCATCCTCGCGTAGCTGGGTCGCGGTGCTTGCGGCGGTGGTGAGGTCGAGAACCAGACGAGCGTTCGTCTGTGCTAGCTGCTCGCACGCGTCGCAGCGCATCGCGTTCTCTGCGCGGAGCGCGCTGAGCTCGCCGGCATGCTGGTCCCTGAGCTTCTTCTCAGCCTCAGCATGTTCCTCCTTCAGCCTCTCCTCCGCCGCGGCATGCTGCGCCCGGTGCCTCCGCTCGTCCAGCCCGTGCCTCTTCTTCTGCCGCTGGTTCAGCGCGGCCATGTCCCCGTTCGCGCGGCACACCTCCAGCACCAGCGTCCGCAGCCCCTGGCCGTCCTCCCGGGCCTGCCCGAGCTCTTTGACCAGCTGGTCGCACTGCTCGTTCGTCGCCGCCAGCTCCTGTTCTAGCTCGTGGCGCTGAGCGCTGACGGCGTCGGTTTCGTTGGCGAGCGATTGGTTGGCGGCGTTGGCGTCGGCGAGATCGGCCGAGAGGGCCTCGAAGCTGGGGCGGCAGTGCGTGCAGGGAACAACCGCCGCACTGCTGCTGCTGCTGTCGTCGTCGTTGTCGTTGTTGCCCTCGGCGGCCTGCTCCTCGTGGTAGAAGCAGTAGCGCACCTTCTGGCGCACCCACCTCTTCCGGCTGATTTCGTTTCTGCAGGGCTTGCCGGTGGTGCAGACTCCCTGGCAGAAGAAGTATGGGTCCTCGGCGGAGCTGGTGGCAGGGATCACGGTCGGGTTCTGGAAGGACATGGTGTGCTGTATTAAAAGTTCTGGAGATTGGGGCGATGTTCTGAGGTTGGATAGGTGCGCGGTGGCAGAAATCGATGTGTTGCGTCGGAAGTGTCGTTCGGGTTGGATCGAAGGGGTTTTATATAGCTGAGTCCCGGTGACTGTGTCTGGACAGAGAAATTTTTCTCTCTGAATTACTCACATTGTGTTATATATCGCACGCCTGAGTGGGCTGTGTTAGTAGGCGTTGTTTCCCATACAGTGTAAATGGGGACTTACCAGTCACCTGGCGAGGCCAGGGCACGGACTGAATCACCAGCACCTGCCGCTGAAGGAAGTGGAGGCAGGACGTGGGAAGCGGCAAGACATAAGTGGAGGCGAGAGAAGGGGAGGATGGCAGAGCCCCCAATGCTTTCGACCATGTGCGTCCTGAGTCGTCAGCTTCTGCTCGAGCTCAGCAATGGCAGTAGCATGTTCCTCCGCCAACATCTTGAGAGCGTAAATCTAAAAGAATTAAGGATGTATATATAGTAGTCGACAACCAAACGAACACTCATGTAATAAAAATAAAAGTATGGAGTAGACATTCAGTAACCACCGTTTTTATGTAGATTTATATATATAGCGTCCCTGAACTAGAAAAGATAAGAAGGGCGGGCTTACTATTTGTTATGTTTAGAATACCCCAGACAAGCCGTTTCAAACTTTTATGATGTTTGCCGGTTTTTACTGGGTTAGGAAAAAAAGGACTAGAGAGTAAAACTTCTTAATAATTTGTTTGATTCTACTTTCGCTGTTCTCATATGTTCTATTCACGCTAACCAGCGCAAAAAAGCAAGTACAACAAAGTCAAAAAGCAGTTTCTGTCGGTTTGGTCCTATTTTTAGATCCTGAAAGCTGACATTCCCTAGCAAACAATGGAAGCTGTGCATCGCCTGTCCCTTTGTCTTGTTTGAAAACCTGAACATGGTTCAGAACGACGCTTAGTGCATGGCCTTCCGGGACATGCGCGGAGGCTGGGGAATGGATAGTTCGCGAGCTTCTAATTCTTAATAGTGCAGGAGAGAAGAGAGGAGGCCATGCACGCTTTGCAAAAAAAAAAAAACATATGCACGAGTAGGACGATCGACGACACTAGCAGTTTCTAGTTCTCCTGACGAGCCCGCAAGACAACAAAACGACATGGGAAACGAGTTGGTAGGTATACTTCCCAAGCTGAGTCATCTTCCAGTAAGTGAGAGCCTGCGTAAGGGCCATCGTTGACTTGGTACACGTGGAGTAGAAGGTCCAACGCTACGTCTTTGTCGACACTCCCTAACTCTTCCAGAAGGCTCTGAGCAAATTCGAAATCCGGATCATCTGGGTGCTTGTGATGCAGCGACGCAATTCCAAACTGTTTTGGGTAAAAGCCGGCCCACTCCCAGTCCAGTAACCACAGCTGGCCATGACGGTCTAGCGTCAGAGCAATGTCCATGTGACACATGACCAGCGTGTCGAACTTGCTGCTCAGACTGCCACCACTGCACAACTTCAACTTCCGGTCGAGCCATTTTTCCATTCCCCGAACACTTCGGAAGCTTTTGTTGGCTCCGTAGATGGAAAACAAGCGGCCGACTGGAGTTCCCGATCCTGCAGGGCCAATACATTGCCAGGCCAACAGGCAATTTACGCCGCCTGCTCCAGCGTCCGGCAGCCCGCTGCGCGCTTCCAACGCCATGTAAAGTCTCGAGACAGTCAACAGTTTGGATGAGAAGTCCTTCCACGACTTCTAAAACTGCTTTTCGCCTTGACTCGGTCCACCTTATATAAGCAATCGCGCGATTGATGCTAAATCATGTAGCCAATCGCGCGCGCCCAAAAGGACGGACGATTGGCCACCCTGGTGTAGATCCCCTTCCCTTCTCTCCCACGCCTGTTGGACATGGTTGTGGAACAACTCCTCATCCCAGCTGTGAATTTGAATAGCAAAGGCGGCAACGTGCTTCTCAAGGATGAGTAGCATTTCATGAGGCGACTGGGGCTGCGTCGAATTGTCGGCGTTGGCCAACCGCAACGGGCAGGGATGATTGGCGTCGACGTCGGCAGGGCGCGTGGCGGTATAGCCAATTAGAATGCGCGAATCTGCGAGGTGAGCTTCTATGGACCGCATCATGGCCTGGAAGAAGATGACTCCGGCCTCGACGCGCTCAAGCCTGTCCATGTTGAGGCGGTGGGGCAAGAGGTCGAAGAAGGGCCAGGTGGGGGGGTCTTGGCCGTCCAGATACCAGCCGAGGACGCCCATTAAGGCGCTAGGCGAGCGGTACAAGCGGTTTGGTAGCGACGCGCCCCACTCCTGCATCGACGTATTGTAGCGCTGGTGGATGTTATCGATAATTACTCTAGCCATGTCCTTGCGTATAACTAATTCTTTACGCATGAATTCCTCGACCGGCTTAAATTCACGCTTAGTAGCGTTAATCATCTCTCTCGCCTGGAGCGGCTTCTTCAGTAGGCCTTTGCTAATGCTTATAATAAAGGCCTGGCAGTTGCATACTATTTTCCATAGGATACGGTCGCGTATTAGCTGGGGGTCGGGCGTGATGTCGTCGCCGTCGTCGTCGTCCGGTACGGTACGCAAGCCAGGTATTGGGTTTGAACGCCGCGGCTGGGGTCCCCAGATCTCCACGACTTCGTTAGATGGCATATTAAGCACCAACGATAGGTCACTGGCTGTACTGTTGACTCTTTCGGACGCTTCAGTTATGGCCCATCCCATTTCCATGTCCATTCCTACCACCTCGCCCAATAGCTCCCACACGTATTTTCTAGTTGCGTCCAGCTGGTCGTAAAAGCGGTCCGCCGTCTGGTTTCGCGCCTCGGCCGGGCCCCATAAATTGCTGTATTCCGCGGTCACGTCCTGCAGGGAAAAGCGCAACCGTATATACTGCTTGAACAGACCCTTCAGCCCCAGCCCCTTCAGCCCACCCGTGTACGGCGTCGCAATATCCATCGCCAGCGACTCTTCGCGCTGCCGCAGCGTCTCGTTCAGCACCGCGTTGTAGTCGTAGGCTGCTGGTATCGGCGGCAGTGGCGGCGGCTCCAGGAACCGCCCCATCACCCAGTCTTTCATCGTCGCCAAATCTGCCATGACCACGCCGACGACTAGTATTACCAGAAACCATAGCGCTACTCTTCGCTGCGGCACGGCGGGAGGAGGAGATGGAAAGGCGGGGCAAGTGGATCGACGATGAGCGGAACCGCAATATAAACAACGAGGAGCCTTGGCCGACTCGTCGATGATGGACGGTCGGTCGGTCAGGTCGACTTGGTCTCGCATTCGCCTGATGGAAGCGCGCCTGCGCGGCGAGTGTTGTTGTTCGGCCATGTCTGCGTGTGGTGGAAATGGTGGAAAAGGTGGAAACGGTTGAGGGAATTCAATATAAAGAAAGAACAAACAAAGAGTATAAGAAAGTTCGTGTTAGTCCATAGAACATAGAGATCCGGTTCGTGGGGAGGTGACTGCCGATTGCGGCGCTCTCGACCAGATAAAGCGAGGCGGCGCGGACAAAGACGCTGTACGCTCTATACCCGTACCGCGAACCTAAGACGGCCAAGGATTCGGCTTGGAACTGAGAGTTTCTGGAGCGCGCGCTCTCGGCAGTCTGGCTGGCGACGCAGGAGCTATCGTCGCCGAGCATGCGGTCGAAGGCATGTACAAACAGGTTGGACGAGTGGTACCCAAGCGGACCAAACAGTATATCTTCACTACAACCTCCCGAATTAATAACAACGTAGAAGTTTAATCAAGTTAGTATATTTCTTATCTCGTAGATTTATATCTACTTCTTATGATAAAAAATAATACTTTTATAGCGGTAATACCAACTTATTTAGCTAAAATCTTTCTTAAAATTAACTTTTTTAAAATACAATTATGCGTTTATATAAACTTAAATTTGATTACTTTTTTATTTTTATAATAGTAGAGAGACTTATAAATATTAGTTAGAATTTAAATAATTAATTTCTATATAGAAATATTAATATTTTACAAATAAATTTTTAAAGATATGCTGTTTGGTAATTACCCCTACTTCTAGTGTCTTGATTGTACAACCAAATTGCTTTCCTTAATACTCGGGGCTGTGTGATGCTGAGTTGATTCCATCAGGTCTTTTTCCTGTGAAGGGTCGCTGTGTTAATTAAGCGACGGTGAATGGTCGCAAGTAAGGTTCGAGCGCCACCCGCGGGCACTGTTCTAGTCCCACCCTGCGAGAAGAGACGCGCCGGGGAACTTGACATGCCTGGGCGAGCGGCACAAACACGCCGATTTTCCATGACGACATGCCCACCGCTGCCGCAGGCCGAGGTCCACCGGCTACCCCGAAGGCACCTCTGGACGTGATCGTCAGCAGAGAGCCGGGCAGGCGGCATCCCCTTCCCATCATGAAGTGCCGTCGACGCTCTCCTCCTCCTCAACGGCGGGCGGATGCGCTGCCGAGGGAAACCCGTCCGCATTGGCGGCTGTCGTCGGACGTGTGGCCCCTAGGAAACAGCGTCGCGACCCTCGTCGTCCTCGAGCTGGACTTCAACGGTTCCCTTGTTCCGGGCTGCTACGCTCTCATGCTGTAGCTACAGCCTGAGGGCAATCTGCCACCCTTCTCGCTGCATTGAGATTCACTGGTGGCCCTGGAAAGAATCCTCTCGCATCTCGAGAGAATGAACTATCGGTTGGAGGCTATGGTGCTGCCACGTCACGTGCGTGAGCGGCGTGAGTTTCTGGTACAGAGTATCACTTCATGGTGCGACGCCTTGGCTATGCTAAATGTAGTGTAACGAGCTGCCTTGTTGACACAATGAACTGCCTGTGATATCGTTAGCATGAGTGCTTGTTAAAGAACAAAGGCAAAGTCCGGTGAGGTGCATGATTCGGAAGTTGTGCCGATCGGCAGGCCGAAGAGCAAGCCGTGATGTCCTAGAAGGCTCTGTCAGGCAGCCCCAGTTAGGATATGACATAGACGTCGAAGCACCGGAAGACGAATTCTCTTTCGAGAGAGCTGTGCTGTCCAGTGTAACACTCGGGCCTGGAACTCCCTTACGGTGCTGATTTTGGCAGATTGGCCAACAACCCATCGGAAGGGGCACGTAAGTGAGCACAGTAAGGCGGGATGTAAGCGGTAGACGTGGCGGTGGTGATCTTAAACAGGAAGTGGCGAAGCGCGACCGGGGAGATATTGGGGAGTGGTGTGTTGAAAACGGAGTGGATTAGCCGTCAAAGGGGCATTCCATTTCGTGCTTCTACGCCTCCTCAGAATCATGCTCCCGAGCGTGCAGCCGTCATTTGGGGTGATAAAATCAACCAAGAAAATGGCCGGCCCTTGTTTCGCAACGAGATCTTTACAAGCGTTGCTGTGCTGCTACAAAACGGCTACTTTTATAAAGTTAAAGATTTAATTTATTTTTTATATTTATTATAGTAGCGGGACTTGAAAAGTATCTAAAATATATAAAAGAATTCTTTTTCGCACATAAAAATGTGAAGACTTTGTAAATAAATTTCAGTCAAGGTCCTGTTTAGATTCCGAGGTTCTAATTGGTATTTTCCTCTTTATAGACTGACCACGCCTGAATTATTGCTATTGAATTCATTACAGTACATCTTTTACCCTCGGGGCGGCCTGTACGAAGGCGTGGTGCGGTGGGTTAGGGGACTACTTCTAATAAAGGCACTTTTGTTAATATTACCTGGACTAACTTTCGGCGTAGATTTTGATTCGTAAGTGACTCTCTAGCAAACACAGTACTTTACGCAATGACTAATTGCACATGGTTCCTGAGGAAATCCATAATCTCACTTACAGGCACTAGGAAGTTGACAGGAGGGAATTTTCGCTCCGCTTCAGATACAAGTTCTCAATCGACGACACAACGGGTGAGTCATGGGTTACTCATCCGGAGAGGTTCGAGTCCTTGCAGGACCGCTTGGACTACGGCCGGTGTGTTCGCATCTACGCTTTCTTCGTGCCCATCGCCAAAAGGCTAAGGCGTGCACATTTCGCTGAAAGAGACATTTCTACAGCTTCCGGTAGAGCTCCGCTACAGAATATACGACTTCCTCTTCGCTTTCGAACCATTTAAGAGAGCGCTCGGAAGGGAAAAGTGGCCAGCCAATCGGTACCTCCGTCAAACGCCCGCCATTCTCTTGGTGTGCACCCAGGATACGCGAGAAGCCCGGGTAGTGCTCAAAGAGAATCCTCTACGCTTAGGCAAGGGTCTTAGATACGGCGGTCCAATATTTGCACAAAGTACTACGCACCTGATGAGTCCTGCGCTAATATATAACCTTCATTTCATTCACCTGCGGCACGTATATGCGCCAGGGACTTCTATCCTTCCTGGACATGGCCGTGGATGTTGTAGGGCTGTGGCTTAATCACTTTTGGGAGATGGACATCAAAGGCCGCTGTGAGTAACTGCGAAATATTCTGACGATTTACTGGGAGATCACTCCGGGTAGCATCCACCTTGACGTACTGTTTTCCAGGAAGTGTCAGAAATTAGAGCTGGGGAGCAACAGGCTGCAAGAATCAGCCGTAGGATGTTTAAAGATCGAACTTGGGGATCGCATGAGGGTGGCATGAGCAATTTGAAGATAGTCTGATTACCTACGCTTGTCCAAGGTCCTTCGTAGATCAATCAATCTGGGAAGGAGCTGTGGCAAGCACGGTAAATTTAGAGGGAATAGGCAAGACAATCTGTTAAACAGTGCAAAGTGATTGAATTGTACACTACTAAAGAGCAGAATAACAGTAGAAACTACCTGTTTATATACACTGTGCTATGTACACGTGCCTCAAAGTATCGTGAGTAAGTCACGCTTGGTGGTGAGATGAACAGGGTTTCTACCTTAGTGTTGAGAAAGGAACACGAGATATACGGCAAATAAACACGGAGGAAAAAGTAAAGAACAGTCTGGCACAATTCTTGCTATCTTTCCAGTTCTCTTATTTCGTTTCCCTTCGTATTCCACGTTTTCAAACAATTTCTTATCTCCGTCGTGCTATTTCGGATTTGGGATGGGATCAGGCAAAACACTCGCTTTTGTTACATCGGAGCGTGTAATCTCAGCAACCAAGTCCCGCAAATTGCCATGATAAGGTCAAACTCCGGAGACGGTGAACTTGGGTACACGAAGGGATAACCGCTGTACGGTCGCTGCTTCAAGGGCGTTGCCCCGTCTGTTCAGAGGGGGACAGGCCATCTTCGATGGGCCCGACATGGTTCCCTTGTCTACTTCCTCACCACCTGCTCACTCTAGCTCACCTCGTCGATTTCCTCATCGCCACTTCCCCCAGTTGGCTTCCTCTCCCCCTCGCTCCCTCTTGTCCCCCAATGTAGTGGTTTGTTAAGGAGGCCGGCCAATTTCTGTTGTAGGAGGTCCAGCTTTCGGGGAGATGGACGCCAGTTACGAGAAATGTGCGTGCGCCGCATACCAAACACCCAACACACAAGTTTACCAATGGGAAAGTTACTGAGATTGACCTATATTTGTGTCGAAAACCGTCGTTGCGATCCCACTGGCCCAAATGCAACCCTTCTACTAAAACGTACTAAAATCCACCTTCTTTAAAGCGTTACAGAACTTTAGCGAAATAGATATTTTAACTTTTTTTTTATCTTAATAGTATATGGATATCTAATAAGTACTTTTAACGCGGAAATGTTACTTTTATAATTAAAGGGTCGCTTTTAGTAATTACCTCTTTGCCAATTGTCCCAGTACCGATCGACCACGAACGTCAAGGAGAACACGCTTGATGCTCGCCTATATGTAGCGGCAGAGCAGCAGCGCCTCAAACTGCTTCTTTAACTTTCAAGTCTTCTCCTCAGCGATTCGTTCTAAATCTTCCACTCTTAGAGGAACTTCAACCAGCACCTCTTTCTTCCTACACAACGCAATACCGCGTACAGCTACTCGAGATTCTAGCCAAAGGAATTAAGGGTTTTCGATTTTTCGAGGGTCGAATTCGGAGGTGTGTCCAAGAACGATGATTCACCTCTGTTGCACAGGAGCAAACACACCATTGTTACACGCGAGCGGATACATACAGGAGCAAAGAACTTTTCTTTTTCCTACCGCACAATTGCACCACCTTGCCTACAAAATTGTGTCGCTATTGGACCCTTTGCTTCACCTGACGATCCAAATGGCTTCTCGTGGTACGCAGTCCATCGGTCTCATTGGTATTTGCTAATTGAAGTAGATGAGAACTTTCGCACACTGGTTGATGTCTTCAGAGACATTTTTGACGAGGTTTTCCAGGCAAACGAGGGCTTCTATGCACAATTCAGTTCAAACACCCCTCGCGAGCTTCTGGCTAGCCTCTCCGCATGCTATGAAAGCAGTATTCGAGAGCTCTCTGGCATATCCAAGAGACCGTCCTCACAAGAGGCCATAGCTAGCTATCAGAGCGCTCTGTCAGATATGGAAGGGGTTCTGTGTAGGCTACGCGACCGACTGCACAGTCGTAAAGGTGACCTCTTCCCCGAAGCAAGACCTCTGTATAACGTAATTGACCTGTGTACGTAGAGTTCCACGATCCGAGCCTCCCATCGAACCAATTTTCAACCAACTTCCCTGCTGTTCCGACCCGTTTCAGTGCATCGTCTTCCCTGCAGTGCACAGACAACCCCACACACGGGCCGGTGACGATGGACCACGACGACGGCGTAGAGGACATCACGTCCTCGGTCCAGAATGGGAGCTCTCGAATCTTCCCTTCCAACCTGCAGGATGGCAAGGATACGCAGGAGCATTCCGGGGATGTTAGTAGGCCGGACTCCCAGGATAATGATGCAGATTGCATGGATCTCGACAAGCCACCAGATCCCAGGCAGGACGGAACAACGGTTGGTCAAGGCGATCGAGAAGCTAATGCATCGACCCCAATCCCAAGACGAGATGATCCGGAACCCGTTGACCCTACAGATGTCATGTACACTCTCAAACCCGGAGATGGTGGGGTCAACTTTGTGCCTGCCCTCGCACACACGTTGTCCAAGCCCAACAGCTGGAAACGGAGCGGATACATCAAAACATCAGTCGCCTTGGATTTCGTGGAGGGAGCTATATTCAAGACCAAGACACAAGTAGTGCTTAAGCGTGGCCATGGGAAAAAGTTCGCCAACGTCTCGTATTCTGAGGCCGCCAAGAAGGTCACCATAGACGGCATGACCAACGTTGAGAAGCATGAGGGTCAGAATCAGATGCTCCAAGGGCATCCTGGAGGCGATACAGACGGCTTGACTGCGGATCAAACCTCTTCTCCCTTCCCTGAACTCGATTTCGACTGGCGCTCCAAGACGAAACAGAATGACGATTACCGCCACCTCTTCGTCGAAGCCATCGAGAATGAGGAGCAGCAGTTCTATCTGGTCGGAGACAATGCCTACGTCGGCAGTTCCAGGGAGCCGTACGTCCATTGTGGGCAAGACTTCTTCGAGAGCCAAGAAGAGAAAGTTGTTGGAATCCACACTCCTTACTTCTACATCAGCGCTGGCAAAAACGCCGTCACGACCTTGCACGTCGAAGACGGATGGTTGCCTTCTGTTAACGTTGTGCACTACGGCGCGCCCAAGATATGGCTCATCGTAGAGCCGGCCCACCGGCAGGCTCTCGAAAACAAAATCAAAGAGATGCTGGGGCTCAAGAAAACAAACTGTGATCAGTTCGTACGACACGAGGAACTGTTCCTCTCGCCTGATCTGCTCGACGAGTGGGATATCCACTACTCCATCGTACCTTGCGCCGCAGGCGAACTGATCTTCGTCGCACCCGAAGCCTACCACCAGGTCATCAACGCCGGAGCGAATTTCGCCGAGGCGATCAATCTCATCCTGCCGGACGAGCAAGGCGCGCCGGACCAGTACAGAATCTGCCGCCCGTCGTGCTCCGGGGGTAAACATAACCCCGTCCGTCTTGACCAGCTTCGCATTCTGAAAAAGCGTTCGGCACGAAGAGGCCGATCTGCAGGCGATCCTACGACTACCCCTTCCCCAGATACGATCAAGCAGCCAGGCGCAAAACCAGATGGGAAGAAGAGAAGCAATTCTGTAACTTCTGCGGGAAAGCCACCCAAGAAACCGAAGGGAAACGGAGATGGCAAGAAACCACGTAGGAACGCGACCGAGCCGAGCGCTGAGACTGTCTTGTCAAATTTCCAAGAAGTCTCATCGATCACACTGCAGAAGCCCGCGGGCAAAGAACCCGCGAAGCAAAGACGGGCCGCGTCCCTCAAGCATCCAGCTCCACAGCCGACGGCTGCGATAGATGCGGGAGAATCGGCCACGAAACGCTTCCGCGAGCAGTACGAGAGGAATGCATTGGCAGACCGGAGATCGTTGGAAGCCCGCTTGAAGAAATGCTTCCACCGCGCCAGGCTGCACAAGGCCTACTTGGATGCTGCACAGGCGGTTGATGCGCAACGGGGGAAAGAGGCCGGGGATATCGCGCGGACGCGTGGTGGCGGATCCCACGTTCGCCACCATGCCAAAAAGGAGCTTTTCGAAGATGTGAAGCGGGAATTGGGCGACAAGGCGCCGAGGAGGGAGTCGTTCGACGCGACAATGGAGGAAGCGTCCAAATGCTACAAGATCGAGCAAGCGTGTGGCGGCTGGGCGATCTGGGTTTTTCTGCAGCTCGCCCTGCGCTGGCATTCGAGCCCTGTGCTGGAGGACAATGTGCGGTGGACATTGAACCAGATTAACAGAAATAACGGAGCGCTCGAGAAAAAGCTCCAGGCCCTCCTGGCGACTGGTGAACGAGCAAAGTTCAAGGAGGGCATCGCTGCAATTTCCCGCGGGAACGGTAAGGGTGCGGAGGATGCAGATGACCGTGCTCAAAGTCTTCTCGAGACCGCCCCGAGCACCTCTCAGACTGACATGGGGTTATTCTCATTTCTAGAAGATGTCTCTGGGACGAGTAATACTGGAGCGATTGGCGAAACTGAGTAATCTACGGGAAATGTGTGATGGAATGCAGGTTTAACGATGAATGCGTCCCTCAAGCTGTCTCTGTGGCGGAGCTCAGCAGTGGAATTCTCAAGGCTTTGCACCATACTCACAGCCTGACTCAGGGTGAGATGCAGTCTCCGGCTGGCTTAAAATGTCCCCTACTTCTAGTCGCGTTCAGACCGTAGACCCTTTCCCGATAACGAATAATGACATTATCTTTCAACGTAAATTGAAGCAAGGTTCATCAGAAACTAGAAAGCACTTCATGAATAGTTTTGTTTAATATAAATGCTACAGTGACAGCAGCTCGAGAGTGCATAACAAGCACCAATCATATTGCTTAACACTAATCTTGTTCTAGTATATTCACTTGTCATGAAACAAAAACGGGAAATATACCCCTCTTCTTCTAGGACCATTCATTTCGAACTTCATATATCTGTCCAAAAAATAATTTATTCGTTTATCTCTTCTGCCCAAATTCTCCCTCCTCACCTCCCAGCCCACCGCTTCTGGCACTTCTCGAAGCTTATCTATTGGCTGTGAATGAGCTAATATTATCAAACAGGAGTGCACTCAGCCCAGTGGAGGTGGGCTGGGAAGTGAGGAGGGATCACCAGGGTGGATGAGATAAAGGGGCAGCAGTGCGTGAATCAACCATGGTGGATTCATTTCCACGAGGACGCCCGACATCAATGGCCGCTTTCGAAAATGCGGGCCGCGGTAGACTGCGGCAAGTCGTTAATGGTCATCGCGACAATTGCCTCAGCCAAACAATTTAGGGCTGCATCACTTGATTTGCTCTGTTGGCTCTTTCCCAAGAACAATCTCTAGTCCGGATGCAAAGGCGACCATCTCAATCCCAGGCGGACCAGCAAGCGGGACGAGGACCGCTGTCCCTCCAGGGTGCTCCGCCGTCTCGTCGACGCGAAGATGAAAGGTGCGATATTTTTTAATTGCAGACTCCCTGCAAATGCTGCAGGATCCCAAGGTATACTTGGCGGAATCTTGTGGCATTGAAATTTATGATGCAGAGTGTGTCAAATTACGGCTAATTATAAAACTTCTCTAGCAGCAGACTCTTTTTCTTGCAGACTGTGAACGGGTATAAAGTATTTTCTGTCTCTGTTTACCAGATCCGCCCTTAGTACTCAGTGTCCAATGCTGCATTTTAGGCCAACGCGCCTTCCAAAGTCCTTAGGTCCTGACAGACGTAACGTCATTTTAGAGAATACCGCTAGTAAAATCACCTATCTCTGTAAAACGGCATATCTGGTTGGTTCAGATCGGGATGTACAGGGCGAAATTTACTTAAGTCGGAAGTATTCAGGGTAAATAGACTAAAACGGAAATTTGCACAAATGGAGCGTCGCGCGTGTGACGGTTTGTATACATAATCCTCTCGCTCAAGCGACCATAAGAGGGGAAATCCATAAGTTCAAACAAAATTCTAGCCTCTTCGTCTCATGTCTATCTTGTAACCCCGTTTGGATCTTTGCGGTGGATCGAGCTCCAGGAATTAAACAACCGCCGAATCCATTTATCGTCCGAGTCCTCGCTTGATTTCTCGGATGCATTGTTGGATCTCTCTCTCTGCCAGCCTATTACAGATAATTTAGCGTTTGACCTTTACTAGCCTTCACTTACTAGAATAGAAATATCCTTACCTCGTTCATCCAGCAAGCTCACTGCTTTTTCCAAATACGAAACGCCATGGCCATCCAGGCCACCCAGTTTCCGGATAGCGGCCATGTTTTCTTTCTGAAATGGGAGAAAGGCGCGAAGGACATAGCGGAAATGGTAAAGCAGATTTTCTGCTGAATTTTCCCATTCGTCGATCATCGATCTTGTAATAAAACTGACTCTTTGCTCTGTGGCCTTTCTCAGAGAACTCGTCGGTCAGCAACAGCGTAAATGTCTTGAACTTGGCGCTTACGGTTTGTTCCTGGCACTTCATAAATCGTACCGCCTCGCCGCGAATGAATTTCAGGTGCCACATGATGACAAAATACGCCAGGAAAATCTCGTACCAAGGCTTAGGGTTCTTCCCAAAAATAGCCTTCCTCAAGTCCTTAAGTAGACGCTGCTCGTCACGTTCCATCATCTTTAGGAACACAACGTCCAATTGATGAGATAGCGCTGGTGGGATTGGCCTTGTACCGAAGCCGTCTACAGCGTTGTCGACCTCTCGTGTACCCAAAGTCTCGGTACCGACTATACTCCCCCAGCCTTCAGAAAAGACTGCTGTGGAGCGGATACGGAGCGCCAACTTGATCATATCGCTTGTTGGCGCGTATCTAAAAGCTTCGTTCAACGTTGCTTGTGCGAGTGGGTCTGCAATACTCTGCCCAATCTTTTCTTCGACAGCTGTACGATTTTGTTCTACCATCTCCTCGACAATCTTTGTCAGTTTTTTCTCATCTGCACAGGCGAAACGGGGCAAGTCAATAGTAGTAACCTTTCCGGCTACTTGCCAAGTCTCTGCTGTTATGTCGCCATCTGATAGAATAAACTCATGGCAGGGAACTTTGAAGCCTTGAATCGGTCGCGAGATATTGCCAGGAAGAATCCAGCACATTTCGACAGTCTTTGACCCTGTCTTTAAATTGGTCCAAAAGTATTTTCGGAAAGAGACTCTTTGCTGGCCGAATTTGGCATTTCCTTTGCGTGATATTCTTAGCCAAAGAAGCGATAATAACGCAAGTCTGTTGGGCAGACAGAAGCGTAGAGAGAGAATACGAAACTTACCGTGGCGCACTAGGATAGCATCAAGTATTTCTTGTCGTGAACATGGTTGGAAGAAGGGACGGTGAATTGTTTCGTCACGGCAGCATCTCTGGCAGGGATTGCCCTCATCACACTGTCACACTGTGAGTTAGCGCATTCCTGGATGCTAATTTTCCGAATCATATACCTTGAACTTATACATGCGGCATCTGACGCAGGCTCCAATTTTCCTTACTCGTTTTGAGGCTTCGCGGGGTCCTTCGGCCTTCTCCTTTTTTCTGTTTGCTGCGGATACTTTAGAGTCCCAGTCTCTGCTGATCGGCACTTGGGAGGAAGGTGCACCTTCTTCATGCACTATTGAGGACAATGGTACGCGCAGAACATCACCATCATCCGTGATGTTGGTATCCGGTAAAGCATCTGGGATGTTCAGGAAACCACTCCAAAAGCCCGGACTGCCCGGGATATCATCAGCAACCGTTGAAGAGGCGTGCGCAATGTCGGCATGCGTGGTACGCTCGACATCAGTATCGGCACCTCCAGTGTAGGAATCCGTTGTACTCTCAACATCACTTTCGGTATCAAATGCCGCTCGCAATGCTGCAAGAGAAATTTCCTCTAGGTGACGTGCAATATGTGTGGCGAACTCGAAGCGGCCTGTCTGCATCTCCTCAAAGCAGAGCGGGCATTGCTGTTGTTCATCATCAGAGTCTGATGCGTGCACGATGACGATGTGGTTCCAGAACATTGGGCGATTGCCAAAGGTCGAAGAAGCGCAGCCCGGAACCAGACATGTATACGGCAGAAGATCACCGTATATGTGCTCCCTGTAAAAGCCATGTCAGTGCGTACGGCACAACGGTACGAAAGAGAGAAGATACTTACTTCCACCCCCGTCTTTCGGTGAATCTAACCTTACAGCCACATGCAACGCACACGAACGGCAAACCTTGCTTTCCCTCCTCTGGTATGGGTGGCACACGAACGTCCGCACCGCGCGCAACGCTCGATGTAGTGGACAAAGCCGAGGGAACAAAGGGAGCCTTTGATGGTACTGAAGTACTAATACCCGAATCCTTGAATGTCGATGGTGCTGAAGAACCAATACCCGAATCCTTGAATGTCGACGGTGCTACGGGGATCTCTACTGCAGCCTCGGGATTTGCTTCAATCTTCTCTTCGGTCTCTTTGCCAGAGAGGGGCAATGCATCATCACCGTCCTCATCTTCCGTGGTAGCTGATTCTCGCTGGGCGCGGAGCCGTTGGTATCTAGTCCAATTCAGTCTTCCGAGCATCTCAGTGAGATTTGTGTCTGCATAAGGGAAACGGTCTCGAATCAAGCGGCAGTATGCGTCAGATCCAGGCATACCGGCCGAGACGTTCCCAGTGGCTTCACCGAAAGCTGATAAAGCCCTTGCGGATCTGAAATGCACTGGGGGGTGCTCTAACGATGGAGTAATGTCAATGAGGCACTGGATGTCGGTCTTCAGGTCCTGGATAGCCTCTTTGCAAAGTTCCTCTATGTGTAGAGGCGGATTGTCCGAGATACCTACAGCAGCCTGCGCAGCATTCTGATTTATCTCTTCTCCATTGCGGCCGCTTTCTGAACCATCATCTGAGACGTTGTCATCGGACGAATCCGAGTCATCGGTTGGGAAACGTGAGGAGAGTGATGCATTCTCAGGACATTCAAGAACTAGATTTTATTAAACGGTTTGTAACTTAGAAAGGGGCATCCTACACACATTGCAATGTGCTTTCAATTGAAGCAAAGAGGCGGACGACTGTCTGGCGCAAACGTTCAGAGCCGAGTAGTATGGTTTCAAGATTGCCTTTTGCAACATCGAACCCGTCGGTCCAGAGGATGAACGCCTTGTATTCGTAAACTATGGCGCCTCGGTATTCTGAGTTGTCGACTTGCAGAAGCTTGCGGAAAAGGCTATCGCACGATTTGAATAGTCGTACAGTTTCAAGGCCCGATGTGTTCTCCGGCTGGGGTGGTGGATCCAGGTGATCGCCGAGTATCGGCTCGACATTGCCTCGACATGCAGATTCAGATGGTTCCATGGGGGTATAGATGTGAATGAAAAGTTATTGTGAGGGATATGGGAGAGTTAAGGGAATGCAGCTGCGAGAACAGAGAGGATGAAGGTGTCGTGTTCGCAAGGCTGAGTCGGAGCGGGGAAAGTGCATAGCCCCACGGTTCTATGCACGTTTCAATTGGATGCCTGCAATCATCACCCCCACAGCCCCGCCAGCTAGCGAGGCTGTGTATCTGCGGCTGAAATTCGAATATACGAGCCGTAGGCAGCCCTTCACAGCCTTCCTGTATCGTCAAAATGTCAGGCCTCGAAGTCGCCGGCCTTGCGGTCGGCGTGGTCCTCCCGATCGTTGTGGAAGCTATCAAGGCGTACTCATCGACACGCAAAAAGATCAAGACGTACCGCGGGTACTCGAAAGAGCTGCATCGGCTCTACCGACGACTTGACGTCCAGCGGCAAAACTTCCTCAATGAGTGCCAGCTTATCCTTCGCGAGGTGGTCGACGACCCAGAGGACATGGTCGACAATGTCAACCATTATGCGTGGCGCGATCGTCAGCTTGACCAAAGGTTAGAAGAAAGACTTCTAAAGAACTGCGAGAGTTGTGTATGGGTCGTCGAGAACATTCAAGAGCGGTTGGCATCCATCGACGAAGAGCTGGGATGTTTTGATGTTCTGCGTGCAGAGAAACTTCAGGTACGCTTGACGCGTTTGCACACTGAGTGTAATTAACTTGTGGAATGCAGAACGAGAGAATGAAAACCACCATTAGTCGAGTGCGCAAGCAGGTTCGCATTGCCTTCCGTAAGGCTGAACTCGAAAACCAGCTTCAAGCTCTCAAGGACTTGAATGCAGACCTCATGCAAATCCGCTCCTACCTCAGCGAATTCAAGGCACAACAAAGGGAGGCTTTAGGCACTGTAATGGTGCAGAGACAAGTCCCAAGACAGTACACCGGCATACAAGACGCTGCCCGCACGTTACACGAGGCCCTAATGAGGTACTGGCATTGCGAAACGCGTACGCATATCGAACACACGCTGCTTTTATGCCTTCAAGCCGAGCTCGAAAAGAACAACAGCGTGCGTTTAGATGTGGCGATCTGTTTCCAGCAGTCTGTCTCTACGGTTCAAAGGTGCCAAACACCCCAATCCTTAAGGAATCTTTTCATACTAATTTTGCCAATAGCTGCTATTCTTCTATGCAAGCGCCCTTTTGGCTCCAAATACAATCGAGTATGGCTAGCGCTCCCGGAGCATCCACCGTCAAAGAAATGGAAGCCCTGCGCCAACTGACAATTGAGGTCTGCGGTCAAGAAGATCAACACCTAAACCCTCCGACTAAACGGGGAGCTCCATCGCAATGCCCACCCGTGGGTCGAACACCACATCCAAGGAAGCGAAGCGTCAGATTCAGTGACGAGACCGCCGATCCAGTGCAGCCTACGCAACAGACTCTTCCGATAAGCGAGGCTGCCGGCTCAAAGCTCACGAACCTTGGTTTAGAGAACGACATCTGCCGGCACCTGCAAGAAAACGTTTGTGAACCTAGGGACGGCTCCGAGCACTGCGATCACTGCCTGGGTTACCTTGAGCTACCGCAGCAATCCAAGCACCTATTTTACTGTCCAGGTACACCGAGGATCCCCAGCCAGCCGGCCACGCAGCCGCGCCGGGCGAGCAGCATGTCTGTCGCGGATGTTCTGCAGTGCCTACCGGCCGAACAGTTCGAGCTGGATCAGCAGCTGCAGCTCGCGCACCGCCTAGCTGTCGCCACTCTCCAGTTCAACGCCACTCCGTGGCTTTGTGATTCGTGGCGAACGGAGGACGTGTTTGTTCTAGCCAGCAACCAGCCCAATATGTCGACATCCGCCTTGCAAACACTTCACTTCCAAGCCAGCTGTCCGACAAATATTGACGAACACGAAACGCCACCAAAGCCAAATTCGCCTACCAGCCCAACAGAATCCCCGCTCGAACTCCTCTACGGCATCCGCAACGCCCCGCTCTTCAGCCTGGGCGTCGCGCTCCTTGAAGTTAGCCAGCAGCGGCCACTCCATCTCCGCGGCGTGAACCCGGAAAACGAAGTCATCGCAGTCAGGAGGCTGGCCCGGGGGTCCATGCGGCTGGGTCCGCGGTACAAGGAGATTGTTCGAAGATGCCTTGAATGCGACTTTGGGTATGGCAATGATCTTGGGAAGTCGGACCTGCAAAGCGCTGTCTACGGACAAGTAGTATGCCAGCTAGAGGAGATGATGAAAAAGATATGTTTGGACTAGGTTGGGTATGACGGCCTCTTGTAGATTCCCTTCTAAGCGCTGAGTATCTACTGGTATTCTTTTACCTCTTCCGATCTTTTTATTCGACCTCAAGGTACCCCTCGGATCATTTGGAGGTTGAACCTTCTCCAACGAGGGGACTTGCTCTCGTCCTTTTATAGTCAGTGAAATTCGACGGCTTCTGTGCAATCCAGTCTCGTAGGCTTTCCCATACCATCCCGCTACTGTGCAACTTGTACATGATTTTTCTGTCCCCTTGCTCGTCTCCGACGTGACCAACCACGACGACCGCGGCAGCTGTCCTCTCTAGCGATGGCTAAGTCTCAACTGAGTAGGACTCGCGTTAAACTGCGTGTCCAAGCGTCAGCATTGCACACATCCACTGCGCAAAGTCTATAGCTACGTGGCTGTCGGGTAACATCCATGATGTGAGGCTGCACTACGATAAGCAGGCATGCTCTACCCTACTCATGTTTTATCGTTACACAACATCCAGAAGGCTCCGGGGAGTTGACTACCGTGGCTGATTATTCGTCGTTAACTAAGCCGACTTTCACCGTTGAAAAAAGAAAGAGGAAATCACTGAGCAACGGGACGGTAGCGCCCGTGGCCCAGGCTCTAGAATGTCGGTTCTACCGTACCGTAAAACCCTCGCCTCGCACAACTTCTTGATATGCTACGAATTGGCGTTACCACTCCAGCAGGATTCTGAAATTCCTCCGTCATCTGTCAGCTGTGTTCTATATCAGAACATCACGTTCAGGATATCGTTGCTTCTTATCAGACAACTATACGAAGAAAACTTTTAATGTAGACACCCTCGTTCTAGTGACTAAAAAAACTTTAGGGATGAAAGAAAATGAAAGAAACTCTTTTTTATATATTACCAATTTAAAGGCCTGGCGGCGCTAAGCCTACCATCTCGGTTGTAGTCTTTATTATACTTTGGGTTCGATTAATCAGATACAAGATTACTGTGAAAGTTGCCCCGTTCTTAAGAAATCTCTTAAACTATTTTTTTTTTAATGTCGGCAATCGTCTTCCCCCTACAGTCCGATGCCACGGTGTTGCAGATGAGCTAAGCCGACAGGAAGATGTCGCTCGCTTTTTCTATAATTTCTAGTTCTACAATCGAAATGGTTAATATGGCGGAAAGCCTACTATAAATGTATACAAACATTTCGTGTCCTTTATTTTCCTCCCCGGTAAGAACTCGTAGGCTTCCGAGATTTAACACTATTAAGGTGAAAAGTATAACTTTACTTTTAAAGGTCTATAGCTAAATTTAGATAAATATCTAATAAAAAACTCCTTTTAGCGTTATGTTATTTTCTTTTTAATCTTATCTGACGTATTAATAAAGATCTCGAATTTGTGTTTCTTTCCGGTTAAGATTCAGGTTGGTCGATGAGAATTTTCTCGAATGGTCTCTTCGAAAGAGTTCTTCTAAGTACTAGCGCTTTGTATACTATTTGTTAAGTTTTAATCGTGTACACATCTAAAAGAACACTTTTTAAGGTTCAATTCTTAAAAGAAAAAAGAAAAACCCCGAAAAGTCTAAGATGCATTTTCTACAGACCGGTACTATAATAATAAATAAGAAGAGATTCTAAAGAAATTTCTACGTATTATCTCTTCTCCACGTCCTTAAGAGCTATAGGATAAATATCTAACTATATATTAAATTCTCCGCTAAGATAACTTCTTAGACCGGATTATATCCGATAGTTTAACCGTGGCGAAAAAATTACTAAAGTTCGTATATTCTCTAATCTTTTTATTCTGCGAGAGGGCTTAGAGTCGACTGGATTCAGGTTAAACAGTTAAGATTCCGTATATACTGGTGAATCTGTCTAACAAGTCATCTGCTAACATCAGATCCTTCCCATATGGTTCCTTTCCATCCACTCCACCCACACGTCTACAATATTCTTGCCTAACTCCAGATGGCAGCAACTCCATCCGGTGTGGTGCACGAAAACATTCTTGCAGTAGCGGTACGGCATGTTTCGGTCGAATTGCTGGAGGGTAGCATGTAATAGCTTCTCAACTCGAAGCGAATAGTTTATTTTGACCTTTAAGTTATCTGGCTAGCACTCGAACTTTCTCGACGAATTCAGAGCCGTCGGACACCGCAAGACGCCGATATGAAAGAGCCCTAAAAGGTTCTCATTCAGCTTTATGATGGAGACCCGGCCATCTCGATCTTTTGCACTTCCGCAGGCTCCAATATCGTCCCCTTCGAGCCGCACTCACGCACTCTTGCCAAGAGTTTGCACTGCTTGGGTTTCTCTACGTTTCACCTGGTCATCACTTTCTCGCTCTTTGTACAAACTGGGACCTAACTTGTAAGAACAACTCTTTGCAGTTTTTCCAGCATTTAGCGCTCTACCTTAGCTCAAGTTGCGTGCCAGAAAGTGCGTTGAAACTAATAGACCTTGGCGTATTAGAAGAATCCGTGGGACTTTTAGGCTCATTTTTGCGCGCGCAACATCCTTAATCAGTCCATGTACGGTAATACCAGTGGGTAAGGTAGACGCAAATGACTTCATTACTGGGAGCTTTTCCTTTTGTCATAGTTAATAGTCTTACTGATGGTAGAAAGGTCAAAGATTGAGAAGTAGCACTGATTATAATGCGTATCATTGGGTTTAGTTACATTGCCTTCATACTTGCCTAAGCATCCTACACAGCGATCAGAACTGAAAGAACTGGAAACAGTGCAGCTTCCCGAAGAGCACAGGTCTTAGAGTGCGAAACGGGGAGCAGGGGCGACAGCGAAACAGCCCCATACAGCATCATTTACGGGCGTAGATTCCGTGACCCGAGTCGGCTTTTTTGCCCCGTGACAGCACCTGTTCCCTTCTTCAATATATTTGACTCTCATCTCGTTGGAGATGTACTTGAGTGTCATGCATGTCCTGGACCAATCACCATCTACGCTGGCATTTCGCAATAAACGAGGTCTCTGCAGTATATATGGTTTGATTTGAGCTGTATACGAAAAGCATGCAAAGAACGATCGTGGGAAAGACTTATTTGTAGTGGCGATTGTCTGTTTTTCCAATGAGGTTTGCAGGTCTCGAAAGGGATAGCTAAAGGGGCGTGACGTGGCTACGCCTCATCGTACATATATACTTGCCGGTCGCAGTAAACCAGTGACAGCCTCGCACGTCGATGGGAATGACAGCGGAGGGAATTGAACTTTTCGTCGAGGCAATATTTGACTTTGATGACTGCATCTGAGGATCTCCTAAAGTCTTTACCTCTTCGGGATGTAAAAGGCCGGTATACCAACTGACCAGGCACGCCACATTAAACCTCAAAGTCAACGATTTAGTTCATCCAGTGCTCTTGTGACCTCACAGAGATCTACGTCGATCAGCGTGGCGTTGTCGGCAGGAACAATCGACTAGTCGGCAGAACCAAAATTATGAAGAATGGGAGCCATTTCCGTAGGCGTTGAGAAGGTGACTACTCCAAGAGCAGACATGATTGCCGCCGACATGAGAGGTATCTGGATCAAATTAGAGACATTGATGACACAGGCAGGACTCAATTTCAACTTTATTGAGCGAGGTATGACGGCTCTTGTTGCGATTGGGGTACAGGATACCGTGGCTCTTTGATGCGTTGCATCGCGCTTGCCGGGATCAACGACAAGCTTCAGGTCAGATGGCGTTGGACATCATATGTGTACGATTTCGTCCGCACGGTGACGGAAGAGTCAGACGGCTCAACTAATCTTTCCTTCGCCTACCATACCGATACGGACTAACATCCTGCTTTTGTAGGCTTACTCGTGAGGAGCCGCTATTGCTGTCTTTTTGCCACAAGTCGAATAACTTTAAATCTCCTTCTGGACATTTCCACGGCTCTTGATACATATGAATACCGTAGACTAAACAGTTTATTCTTGACGGTAGAAATGGAAGGGACTGTAGCTGTTGGTTCCGGACTATTTGTGATTATTCCCGTATGGTGGAGAGGATCCACGACAAATTCCTCCTCTACTTAGAGTACATGTGGTTGGGTTTAAAGACGTTTTCCTTAGAATCTACCATGGATTCTGTCTCAAAATAGATGCTTTTCCTCAACATAAACGACAGGGAGCGTATAGAAAACATAGAGAGCGCGAATAATTGTAGTTGAAGAAACATATTGAACTTGGGATCTCTGACGTTTTTTTTTTCAAGATGGTACCGACATTAATATTTTATTTTATTAAATGTTAGGGTTAGAAAGAATGGATTAAATCTTGTCTGGTTCTTTAATAGCCGTTCAACCAATGATTTTGTACACATTAGATTGGATAATAACTGAGAATATGACGGATCTAATACGAGGCAGAGTAGATTACCGAAGTATGGTTGGAATGGACCGAGTAAGGAAGCTCAATAAGTGACTCAGGAAGCGATAAATGAGTGGTAATGGGCGAGAGATGCGATCCTCGTCAATCGGGCCGCTCGTAGATGCTCTTATATAACGTCTACTTGATATCCTTGCCGTAGCAACGCAGTGCAACGATTATTCAATGTCGGGAACGTTCTCCGCAGGATGAACAGTCTTTCTGTCCACCAAAAGTCTCTTATACGGGGACGGCTGTGCCACTGGTACTCGATTCTTAATTGTTCTTTAGATATGATGTAAGAGCGCCTCAAGCTCCCCGAGAAGTGCCATTGCTGACGGTGAAATGCTCTTAGATACCTCCAGGTTGATTTCCAATATAATGGCCCGTCGGTCGGATCCATGGTTTGTCAAGTAGAGTTGGCACTTGGCCTTTCGGCTCGTAAGCAGCTCAGTCACCATTGTTGCAGTCGATAGTGGATCGAGAGTTCCAATCGTGATTTTCGTAGGTGATGGTCTCTAGCTGCAGGAGCAACTATAGTTCGTGCCGATGTATGGACCTGAGTAGCTGCTTAGGCTCTCCCTACTTTACATCCGTAGCCCCTTGATCCCCTCCCCCAAAGCTAGTCGGGGCGACTGATGTAGACGGAAAA